TCTGGCTATAGTGGTGCTCTCAGTAAAACTCCCATAACTCCATCAAACCAAAAGCTAAAAAACTCTTTTTCAGACTGCGAGAAAGAGCATATTTAGCCAGAATTTAGAAAATTAGTGAATAAATGCGTGACAACCGACAGAAAAATTATTATTTCTCCATGGTTTTTGATGTGAAAAAATGTGAAGTGTAGCTAAAAGATACAGCAAAGCCAGGGCTACATAATGGTCGATTCAGGTTTGTTGACTTTCAAAACGTTAACACAAAAATCGTTTTTGACTAGAAAGTTTTCATTTTTTACGTCTTTCGTATAATTTGCATAGTTTTCTTGATTGAAGCTCTGAAAGTAAAGTTTAAGTATCGTTTTGTAGAGTATTTCACGGTGAATCTTTTGAAAAACACTAACCTTAAACACTAACCTAAAGAAACACGAGAAAAATAGAAAATACTGAGGCCGTCATTCATTGTGCGTCATCCGTAGGTAAACTGTAAGTGGAAAACTTTTCTCTCAAAATAATGCATTTTTTTCTTAAAGAATCTTGATACTTGTGAGAAGTAGACAACAATCAAATTATTAAAAAAAATCTTTTTAAAAATTACTCATGGATGCTGAGTGGTGAAGTGTGTCATTAAAGAGTGATCTCTAGAATTCAAGGGTGCCTTCCTCTTCACTCTGTTTGCTCCCTCTTGAGAAAGACGGAGCGAAAGGTTCAAAGATCGAGTCCAGCTTTTTACCACAAATGCTTCAGACCGTATCTGAGATTCTAATTTTTTTTGAAAAAATTAAACTTTTCTTCTTGAGATATTCAAAAAATGCTGAAAATGCTCTGTAAAGAGTCGGTTTTTGATTTTAAAAACCTTCTCACGACGAAAGTTGAAATTGAAAGAGCTTTGAAAAAATTTAGAATCTAAGATACGGTCGGCAATAGCTGTGGTCTTGGGCTCGATCGGATTATTTTTTGGAGGATTCGTAATGTAATCGGATTGAAACCACTAGTGTTTTCCGAATTACAGATAACATTTAACCGCTCATTTGTGGCGATGCTCATGTATCCGCGAAAATTGGAAAATTTCAAATGGTCTCCGTCTGAAGGGAACACTATGCCCTATCAGACCATGTATAAGAAAAAATTCTGAAGACATCGGAAATAAAAAGAAATTAACACTACTACAAAAATTGATGTTTTTCAGACTCTCGAGTAAAAACTTAAAAAATTCATAACTTTTGCAAAAAAAGATTGTGGAACACTGGGAGTGTTCTTACTTTGTAGGTTAGACTTTTCTCTACATTAGCCCATATTCAACTAAAAATAAAAAACTTTGTCAAAAAAGAGAGGTTAATGGTTATTTCAATTGTAAATAGCTATATCAGATGTTTTTACTCGTGACTATTGATTGCGGTACAACACAACTTAGAGAGTGAAGGTGTTTTCGTCCATAACTCCAAATTTTATTTAATTAGTGTTTTTAATATACATTTTTATGCAATGGGAGTGATATAGCATATTTTCATAGGAAAAACATCAGCTGATAGTGTATTTTTTTTCCATTACGTGTTCCTATATTACCACTGAATTCGATATTGTTAATTTTTAATTTATTTAACGATGTAATGATTGTCATTTTCAATCAACATCCAGTTGGATAGACTAGTCTTACTTGTTCTTGTACATGCATTCATTATCATCATTTCATAGAGTGAAATATGTAGAGCGAGAGAGTCATATTCGGTTTGGACTACCATCATTGTCTGAACGATTGACTTAGATAAATCTCAAACATCAAACAAAATGCGCTCACTATCATTTAACTAAGCTTTCTTCACTTTTCTGGTTTTAATATTAATTTTAATTCGTAACTTTCTAATTTTTTATGCCTTTTATATTATTAAAAGTTTTACTCGTTTTTAGAGAAAATCAACTCGTTTTCCTTTATCGATTGTAAAGTTAACTTTTTTTATTAAGTTCAGGACTCAGACTTTTTACTAATTTACACCCATAGTTTATCAAGTGTCAGGTGCATTTCATCAGCCTCGGTACTTGGAAACAACTAACTGACACTGAATAGTTCCTATACAATAGTTTTTAAACCTTTCTAATGTATCTATCTTTAGTTTTATTACTACTGTAGGTATTTGATCATAATTCTATTTACTCCATTGTGTATTTTGTTTCCAGTTATATTTAAAAAAATGCGAAGAAACATATTTCAAATATTATTCAGATGCATGAGTGGTCGATTTATTCGCTCCTCATTACTATTAGGCATTTTTCTGATAATTGGATGTGCAAATGTTTTTTACGTATTATATCTGGGCGAACATAAAGTTATTCTACTCGTTGATCCTCAAGAAAAAGAAAATAATAATAGTCTATTGAAAGATATAGAAAATCTGCATTGGACAATATCACAGGAATCATTCACTTTGAAACGATCACGTTTTGCATTACGACTGTTAAAATTTCTAATGAAAAATGCTTCACCGGGAGAAACATGGATATGGACACCAACCAACGAATATCCATCAACACCCTATCAACCAACAGTGATTGAAAACGAACCACCACCACCTGAGAAAGACACATCATTCCAATTACCACCTCAATGTATTAAAGATGAAATTTCTCGTGTATGCAAAATATTAACAAATGCCGATTCAAGTATTGGGGAAGAATGGTGTAAATTGTTTTCAAAATGTTATCCGAATACATTAGAAACGACAACAACTATGTTGAATGATGGTACAACGTATATTATTACGGGTGATATTGACTTAATGTGGCTGAGAGATTCAAGGTAGGTTTATTGATTAATCTTACTCACTTTATGCTATTTTTTTAATTTAAGTGCACAGGTTACTCAATATTTACCATTAGCGAAAGAAAAAGATATTCAGCGAATAATTGAAGGCCTTATTAAGCGACAATCAATATTTATTACAAAAGATCCGTATGGTAGTTCATTTCGAACGAAACTTCGACCAAATCCTCCGTCTGACGATGACCTCAAAGCGGGGCATACGCAGAAAGGACGTAATATGTATGTTTCGATGCATAATTTTGAACTGGATAGTCTGTGTTATCACATTGTTCTTAGTTATAAATGGTGGAAAACTAGTGGACGTACAACAATATTTACAAAAGAATGGTTACAAGTGGTAAAAATTATTGTTAATTTGTTCACCATTGAACAATATCACAGTGAATTATCTCCGTACAGGTATACAGAACTCAGCAATGATCATAAGGGTACTCAAGTAGCGTATACCGGTATGATATGGTCTGGATTTCGTCCCAGCGACGAACAAACAGCTTATGGTTACTTAATACCAAGCAATATGTTTGCTGCAGTTTCCTTGGAAAATCTTGAAGAAATTTTAACAACTATTTTTTATTCAAAAGAGGAAGATTTAATTAAACAGATAAAACAATTGATAAAAGATATTCACAAAGGTATATATGAATTTGGTACAGTATATAATAAAAAATATGGAAAAATATATGCCTATGAAGTAAACGGATACGGCAATCATACTCTAATGGATGATGCGAATATACCGTCTTTACTTTCCATACCGTACTTACAATATCATTCACCATATGATGCTAAAGGTGAAATAGTTCAAAATACACGAAATTTTATATTAAGTTACGATAATGTTTATTATTATGAAGGGTTATTCGGAAAAGGTATATATACGTTTAACGTTTTTTTTTTCATGATTTTTAGTCTAGAAGTGGTCTTATTCTTTAGCCTATCTATACTTTCCTCTACAACAGACTATCTTTAACTCAAAGTCGAAAATTACAAATTTAGTTCCAAACAACATATGATAGAGAATTAGTCTCAATATCTACTACGAACACCTTTATGTTTCATAGGTATCGGCAGTTCTCACACAGATATCGGTATGATCTGGCATTTGGCAGTCATTATGGAAGGTTTAACAACGAACGACTCAGATAGTGTACACAATGTTTTCAGCATACTTGAAAAATCACATGCCAATAGCTATCAGATGCATGAAAGCTTTCATGTAAATAATACCTTCACGTTTACACGCTCATGGTATGTGTGTTAATGTAAAAAACAAACATACCATTTTAAAAAAGTTTTTCCTCAGGTTTGCTTGGGCCAATAGTTTGTTTTCTGAATTTGTACTGAAACATATAGATTATCTGGAACAATGGATTAGAATTAAAGCAAAACAACGAACAAGTTCTTTACCAAAAATCGCCACCATACTCTCAACGACTACCACAAAACTCTCAGTAAGATATTTTTATTTATCTTAGAAAATTCATGCAGAATACATATCATGTTTAGTAAACCAGTGAGAAGAAGAAAGAAAAGACTACCATAATCAGGATTTTTCAAAACCAATGCGTAAAACACTATACAATGATAAATTGATGCTTGCAATTCACGTCCTCGTCGATTGTATTCGTTTACATACATCAGTTGTTTTAATATCGATTAAAAATATGAAAAGTTGATCATGATTTATAACTGTATGTATTCTATTCGATTAATGGTGGAATTGATACATGATCCTCTAAACTAAAAGAGTTAGCTCATGTTTAATGTAGGAGTCAATCGAAATCTGAACATATGGGAACGAGACAGTGAATACTCATTATGCCGTCGTTTATCTATCATTTTTGGTGGTGGTAAAATGAAAACTCTAGTTTAGTTAACTCTATTTTTATCTATTAACAGTTATCTTCGATGATCTACAGTAATATATTCTGTTAAATTGGTCTACTTATTATCATTTTTCAGCATCAAACTTTCGGATTTATTGTATAAAAGATTGAGAAATTGGTCATCGATTTGTTCGATGCGACTGAAAATCATGTTCTCTATTCTCATTCAAAATTATGCTAAAAATGCAATCGAAACAGATACCTAAAGGATCATACTAAAATCACCATAATCACTTGTATTTATCAAATTTAATACAAAATCTTATTCATATTATCTCTCAAAATTATGGCGATCAAATAGAATTATAGATCATCTACGAAATGAATTGAAATGATATATTTATCAGTAAAATACGTCTTGTTCAAAAGTTATGTACATTTGAATTTATATCGGCACCCATCAGTGAAAGTTGAATTATAAATGATATAAAAATTTTAGTTTTGCAAAACATGTCGTTGCAAAATATGTATGCCCGATACTTTTCACAAATGAGAAATGGATTCAGAATGCCGAAATTCATATCGACCTGGAATATGTTACACTCATGAAATGCAGTACATTCTAAACGACATCCTTACCGGTGCTTTTTGTATACTAATCTGTATTGCAGATAGAGTAAAGCTGTGTTCATTTCTTTATGAAAAATAATTTATTTTGAGGATAATATTTTTCGAAATTAAGTGTAATAAAACTAGCCACGATATTTGTTGTGTACTAAGCACTTAAATTTTTATATGTATAATCGAATTGTTTAGGAATATTGTGTAATTTTTATTATAATCATGTTAGATTTTTGATAGATTAGTTGACCTAAAATGGTATGTTATACTAAATAAATCAATTAGTTTTTGTGAAGAAGGCAGTGAATGTACACATTTCTTAAAAATGTATACTTTTATTAATAAATCTCATCATTAAATTGCTCATCAGCTTAGAAAAGTTCAACATAAATATTTCGGACATTATTAGAACAAATCGTCAACACCTCTTTCATGTTTAGTTACAGCAAGGCTTACGTAATTACTAATACAAATCTTAATCATTTACAGTAATTATATGTTATACATAGAGTATACATTCTCTAGAAATTATGTACATCCGCTATTTTCATAATATATTCACTTCTGGTACAATTAGTATAAACAGAATTATTATTTACATAAGTCGACGCATTCCAATATCAGTTTTAATTAATTCGAATGTCTGAGATACTTGTGGATCAGATATAAAGTGGAAGAGACCGTCATAGACGTTCGATGAGTTTAAGATGAAAACGTTATAATTTACCCAATGTACATCATATAAAAGAACAGGTTATCGCAATTGGACTAGTTTTCATATCATACTTAATTAGTTTTTGTCATTGCTATCTTTGTCAGAATTTTGCATTACATTGGATAACTATCAGTATAAATCACGAAAAACAGCTTCTTGATATGTATTACATTGAGATTATAAAGACAATAAACGTATTTCAAATACTATTCGGATGAATGAGTCTCCGATTCATTTATCAATTCTATGAGGTTTCTAATGACTGAGTATGCATAACTGATGAAGTCTTTATAATGTACTCTAATTTGAAGTATCAGTGTTTTGAGCATTTCATGTAACATCAGATAGGTCTTTTTTCAGGGTTCCGTATATCTCCGTGAAAAACCTTTGGAAAACTTGCGAGACGTCTCATTGTGCACGGAATATTTTGCTTTATCAGATCATATGCAAGATCTTTGTAAAGTATATACGATGAAGAGTCATTAAACACTGCATTGAATGAGGCATTCTACATCTTTTTCTGCCTAATTAATAAAGAAATACGCTTGTTTTTTTAAAGTTCAAAATTCTATGAAGATTTTCGGCATTTTTTTTTAAATAGAAAATGAATTAGGATTATTGAGTATGTAAAATACTCGAAATTTATATACAGAAATTTTTATCTGTCATCTCAAGATTGAAACAGGTCCCGTGGTATTCTACTGCATCTTGCAGTCAATTCAGTTACAATATTTAGTCGACTCATCTATTGTTAATGCAACAGACAATCTATTCACCATTGCATGAAATGACTATGTCTTCTTAGTTTCATGTATTTGAACCATGTCTCACCTTCAGAATATGAAATATGCATCTATTTGATAGTCTCAAATATCTATTTTCCTTCTTAAAAAAGTTATAGAAAAGAAAAACGTTGAGAACAGAAAAAAAAATCTAATTTTTGTGTAAAAAGCTAACAACATTAAACAATCAAAATATTAATTAGTGTGTCGTGCACGTACATCGAACAGTACTTTTTAAAAAAGGATAGAAGGTCAGAGAAAAAAATTCTTTTTTCACACTTTACAAAGAAAAAGAATGAGATAAACAAAATTTGTCCGTCTAATTTGTCCAGTATTATATAATGTGTGTTTTAATAGGTGAAATAACACAATAATGAAACGGAATTGATGAGATTTGCTTTGAATAACATATTCACTGTTAATATAAAAGAATAAAAACTGTACAATCATTTCGCGATTATGCTACTTTCAATAAACATAAAAAAACCAACAGATAACAACAACAACAACAACAACAATGATAACAAATAAAAAGAAAAATATTAAAGGCACTCAGGAGAAGAAACATTTTTGATTAAATGGAGGAATGGAACGTTAATTTTAAAACAAAATCTGACCAATAACGGTCATCGTTCTACTACCAACTAAAATGAGAATAGCCGGTGTGTGGTTAAATTATTTTTCTCTTGTTGTTATACTACCACTACTATCGCCACTACCATTATAATAAAATTTATAAAAAAATATCGTACCGGTTAGTGTTAACAATGAAACAATACCATAAATTAATAATGGTCGACGATTTTTTGATGAGAACAATGTAAAAATAGAATTTGTTAATTTTTTTACTGGTTGTTGTTCATTTTGACGAAGTTTTTCTTTTATATCTTGCACTTTTTTCTCTATAATTTCATTTCTTTTCAAACGTTCTGTTCGTAAACGTAATGATGTATCATTGTTAGAATCTCTGAAAATAAAGAAAAACATTTTTTTCTTATACAAAATAATAAAACAAAAGTTTCGTCATTGATCTATCATACGATGGAATGTATAATGGTATTCATTAACTTAGTAATACTAATAATAGTCAAACTTCATACCCTACTACCGAAAGTACCAAAGTCTATAAAAGAGTTTTAACTATGAAAAATGTTTTCAATATTCTAACATTCCAGATGTTTGTTCTTACTTTGTAGTAATATCCACCAGTGGTGAGGTTGTTTTTGTGTAGTCTGCCGTTGAAGGTGTAGCAATTGATGAAAAAAATTTTCCATTATTTTGATTGTAATCACTAGTGGATGTTGATGGTATGGTTGAACTAGTTCTGACGGTTCTTGGCGTGAAAATTGATGCGTTTGAATCTAAACGACGTATTAATTCTGTATTAATATCTTCTAAACTATCGGATAGTTTAGAAGACGGCATAATATTATGTGCTCGATTTAATTGTTGTTTTTTATATCCATAATTGTAGTCTTCTTCCGATGACGATTCCAAGCTCGATGACATATTATCCGGTTCATCTAAAAATTGTGCATGTGATTCTTCTAGCTCATCTAATATTTTAAGACCTTCTACTATTGCTAGATAAGAAAACCTAAGTAGAAAAAAATATATTCTGAATTACAAGATATTTTGTTATTTTTCCGTTTAACCTTAATTGTTCGTTTGTTTGAATTAGACCATGTCGTTGTAATCGAATTTGAGCTAAAACTTCTATGAGGGATATTTCTTCAGGATTATCCGTATGAGCTAACTAAAATGAAAAGAATGATGCTTATACGTTTAAATACATACACATAAATATTTAACTTACCATAACAAGAATAGAATCAACAAGAACAAATGTTCCTAGAAAAATAATAATAAATGTCAATGAAATACTTCAAATAAAAAAATTAATTCCTATTTATCGTACCTGATCTTCCTATTCCCGCACTACAATGAAGAACGGGTGCACCGTAACGTGAATCAAAGGCACCAGAATGTCGAACTGCCATCAAAAATTCAAGAAATGGTTGTGCAGAATCAGGGGCACCTACATTAAAAGATGTAAAACATCTATCTCGTTTAATTAAGCATATAAGAGTTACCATGATCTGGCCAATCTGTATAATGCCAATGAATAATACATCTAACTTCATCCGTCTAAAATCAAAATCATATTATGTTTATTTCACAACAACATACATCTGTTTTGTTAGCAATACACGTGTAGTTACTAAAACTTACTCTCATATTCGTTAATTCAAATTTTCTTTGTGTATAACATGGACCAGGTTTTTCTGACACAAATGTTACTTTTAAACCAACATCGTTATAAATCAATTCTGAATCATTCGAATAATCTGGATAATATAGCCAACATTTATTACATCCTTTTTCCATTAATTTCGTTAGCATGACTATAACACAGGTATTTTGTTCCCATATCATTTGCCAAAAATGTTTTGATGTTGTAGGCAATGGACCCTATAAAAAATAAACTCACACAATATAATGTTACCTTATAAAATTTATAACTAATCTAACCTGAGTCAATATATAACGTCGGTTTGCTAATGGTACATTGATAAAACTTGCATTTATGTAATCGATTGGACCATTATTTAGACGAACACGAGTATCATCATACGGGAGAACGTCACGAAAACGATTTAATGCTCGATTTGTATTCATCAATGCAATATCATTTTTCTTTTCTAACGTTCGTATACCGTGTTCTGTGGCCAATTTCTAAATAACAGCAAGTTTAGTTAAATGCGATCTTTGCACTGAAATGATGGTTGACTTACATGAAATAGCGCAGACCAACCATGTTCTCGTTCAATCTTTTCAAATTCTTCTTCAAGATGTGACATCTTAAAAAGAATGAGAGACAAAAACTATATCAAACAGGTTAGACTATTCGACGCTGACAACATTTGTCAATAGACAATGATAGCAAGACAGTGCAGTATTCCTTTATCTCCAAACAGACTGTTTTCTTATTAAAATCAAAATTATTTAGAAACACAATTATTATTGTCGTTTGCATTTTAATTTTTCTAAAAAACACACACACGTACAGAAATAAACAATTATTTTTCTTTTTTATATCAGACATTTTAAATGAGTAAAACTATACATGAACGAGAAAATGGACGGATGGGATTTATGCAAACAATTTCAACACACACACACACACATTGACAAACTATAATAAGATCTGTTTCAAAATTTAACTTTCAACGAGACGTTCGGAGCAGCATATTTGTTCAATGGCCAATCTTTACCATTGAGTTTTAATGATTTTGGTGTATCAACACGTATCGATTGGATCGAAAATTTCTAAAAGTAAAAAAGAAAAACAATTGAAACCAAGCATGTGGCTATAACCGACTGATTAAGATCGATGATTACATAGGGAGAGTATAGGAGAACAATTAAATCAGTTTTACCTATCCTTTCTACGTAATACACTATTAATCTGTTCAACTTGAAAATGACTTTTAATACGACGAGATGATCACCTGTTTATCGATCTTTCTCTTGCATATGACAACTTACCTCTTTTTTCCATTCAATATTTATCAGTCTATAAAACGGTTTCGGAATTTCAATAATATCACCGAGTGAAACAGATGATGTAATATCAACATAATAAACTGTAACCAACACACATTTCTCTTCTGTATCAGCCAATATAAACATTCTTTATTATAAAAACAAAAATGAATATGAACAAAGATCATAGATTTAATACTTACAATTTGACATCTTGTATACCAAGACTAGCGACGACCGTACCACGGTATATAACTGTATCATTTTCACCATTACAAAGAAAATCAAGTGGCACAACATTATCATTACATTTTGTTTCATTTAATACTGATATTAAAGATTTAAATCGTTTTGGTTTGAGACGACCCTTGATTAAGAATAAATTTGATAATAGGGTGTATTATTAAACAAGAAGTCAAAAATGACATACTTTACAAGCAATAAGATCAGTAACTGTTCTTAAATAGGATAACAATGAGTCTTGATTATTTCGTGCATCATCATAATCTGGATCTAATTCGATGGCTTTTTCATACGATTGGAGTGCATCCTGATAATCTTCGTGATATTGTAACGCATACAAACAAAACGAGAAATAAATTTTGTCCTTTTGGTTGTTTGAAACAAACTACTTACTACTCCACGACTATAATGCAAATCGGTATCGAGTTGTGAAGCTGGATCTTGTAACTAAAAACATATGAAATATCTACAGACTAAACTGTAGCCTAACATTGAGCATAAATATGCAATAGAACATTTTTGTCATTTTCTTCAAACATTTTGATCAAAACAATCTTTTAACGAGCTTGTCAACTGTTTTTGATGCAACGTTAATTGATACAAAAACTAACCGCTATATTGTATGCACTGAATGCTTGTTTTAGATGTTTTGGATGGTTTTCTACCATAAAATAATAGCATACATACGAATTTCCAAGTGTATCTAAAATAAGAAAGATACATAATCATTCGAAAAAAATGGAGAACAATCGTTGAAAAAGAATAAGATCAGTCTCTGACATTCAATTAATTGCTAAAAAGACATTATTCTCCATTAAATTGTTAATAAAACGTATAACATATATTCGAAATTCACATTTTCATAATTCATCTAACAAACAGATAACGAATATTGTTTTTTCTTTTACTTAAAGAGTTTACTTAATTTCATTTCTATATAATAGTAGTTAGTCTGCTCAACAAAATCTAACAATATGGATTATTTTTATCATCAAAACTATATTTAGCTCATACTTACACCATGACGAACCATCTTTTACATCAATTTCTACAGCATTTTTTGCATATTGTATACTTTCGTCAATCAATTGTATTCGCTGTGTTCGATCATCCGTTTTTGTTGCTAATTGACGAATGACAATGGATAAATTACGTAATACAGAACGATTTTTTTCCTTTAAAAAGTACGTAAGAAACCGATTAATAAACTCTAATTTAAAAAATTCATAATCTATTTTATTTTACTTTTGAATTTGCATTTTTAAAACAATTTGATGCCATTTCATATTCACCATTTTTTGCATAACTTTCACCTAATTCATTTAATGTAAGAATATTCGATGGATTGAGCAGTGCCGCTTTACTCAAATAATCTGTTGCACGTTTTTCATATTCAGGAAATATGTTGTACGCTCTTCCTTTCCAATAACAATAATTTGATTTATTTTCCGGGTCACGTATTTGTTCTAAAGTTAAAAATTAGTTTATTTTAACTAATATGATTTCATTTATTGGTAAGTATACCTTCAATTTCCGTAAAATTTGACATTATTTGATCTAACTTTACACGAATACGTTTATATTTCATTTTTGATGATTCAGTAGTTTCATTTTTATTTGAAGTATGTAAATCATCCTTTGGTTTTGCTTTGAATAATTCATTACGATATTGGTATAATCCTTCGATCCCATTCTAGAAAAACATAAACGGAAACAAAATCACCACTCATAGAAATACATAAGATGTTGAAAAGTGTGTAAAGAAGAATGAGAATTAATATAAAGTTCAATTCAATTATCAGAAGCAAAAAAAACACAGTACCTTTAATGATGCAACTGTCTTTGCTTCTTCAGCCTGAAACGCATAAAAATATATTGTTAAACCTTGATTGTTTTTTGACAATCACAAATTTTACTTGAACCATTCATGATCAACAAATGATAGTCAAAAAAAATAGAATGATAGCTTACTGTTCTCAGCTGAACTTCATCCACATCAGTCATCTAGAAAACGAACAATAACTATAATAATACCATCTAGTTCTTTCTTTAAACAACAATACAATTAAAACTATGTTCTGAGATGTGAACAAACATCGAAGTCTCAGATACTATCATCACAGCAAGAAAAACAGTATTCAAATAACGTTAGCCTATACATTTGATATTAAAAGACAAGTAATCGTGAATAATGTTCACAAATTTCAGATAGCCTTTATTTAAATATAGATAATCATTAAGTATATCATACAAAAATAACTGAAGACAAAAAAAGTGAAAAAATCGACAGTTAAACCATTGTAGACAAGCAAAACATGCATTTCTTTCCGAAATCAATAAATATTAAAAATGCATATCACACGTACAATAACGATATGTAAAACTATGGATTCGATTTTGATCTTTTACGATGAATTCTTATAGAAAAATGCTATCGATATAGTCGCCATATTATATCCGCAAATTTTTGCCATTTGAATTAGTTCACCCACTATTAGCTTAGCGATGATACTGGATACTATTAAGCATTCAGAATATCGACCTGGAATTAATTAATAATCTTTATTTTCATCAATTTGTGCTGGATTTTGGTATATAGTATTTCAATAAGAACCACAGATATGATCATTATGTTTCAGTTTATTTGATATTCTTTTCTAATTCTTGATAAAATTTTTAAATTTCATCCCATACTTCGTTTCAGATTATAAGATTCATTCAAATTCCTCTACGTTAGCAAGTGGATTCGCTCACAATATAAATAACGGATGTACCAGAAGAAATGGATCACTTAGTATTTTGCCAATATCTCTGTTAATTTTCATTGTCAAGGGTCGAACTTCTTTTTAAAAGATTCTTCGTTCAATTCACTACAAAAACTATATTGAACATTTTTTATACATGGTACAATTAAAGGAATATGGATGAAACACTGCGAAGCTCCAGTCTTAGGTATGCACCAGTTAAAAACTGGTTGGGGCATCCGGGAGAATTACTATACATCAGTTACCAAGATTCGCTCATAGCTGAGGAACCAGTCGTAATCATGAAAGGTAATATGACTAGTTGATAGAATTTTTCAAAGGAATGATCATTTTTTCTTTACGATATAAGATAATATCTTACACCGCAAGATATAAAAGACTAAAATTAAAAACTATTTTTTAGGCTACAAAGTAATGGAGACTGGAGCCTCGCAGTGTTTTATCCATATTCCTTGATTTGTACCATGTATAAAAAATGTTCAATATAGTTTTTGTAGTGAATTGAACGCGGAATCCTTTAGAAAGAAGTTCGAGCCTTGGCAATGAAAATTAACAGAGATATTGGCAAAATACTAAGTGATCTATTTCTTCCAGTACACCCGTTACAATATACATTTTGTAATATAAAACAGTTTTCAAGTCATCTTCGTTTAAACGATAACAATTTCTGATTTAATTCGCGACTTACCTGCCACAAAGAGAAAACAGAAATGAAGGTAGTCTAACACGACATCATCATCATCATCATCATCATCATCTTATCACAAACTTTTTACTTCATGTCATCAAATACATACTTGATATTTTTTATGACCCACGGTTACCAAATATTTTTTATTCCCAACGAAAGAAGAAATATACGTCTTGTTTCAGTTCAGTAAACCCAGATAAAGATATGGCCAGTAAACAAATCGGCTTACCTCAAACACAACTGTTTGCATGATAATGTTTCTCTTACATGAAATTAGCATCGTCTAACACATTTTCGTTGATTGATTTTTCTTATTGCAAAAATTCAATTTGAACACCTACGTTTATTGCAGTATTATACGAACAGGTTTTTTATTGTTGATCATTCAATCGAATAGTGCCTTAGCATTACGTTTATGATGTAGCGTTTGACCATTGTATTATAAGATGTATCACGCTTCGATAGTTCTAAATTATACAAATGAGACGACATTTTGACCACAAAGTGGGGCTTTGGATGCTTACAAGCAACACTTTCTTCATTAAAAAAACGTCGTCATCATAAATCTCCACACATAATAGAAGATTATCTTTCACTAGAGGATCACTGTCAATTATGCAACATCAAAGCTAAGTAGAAGACTATGGTCTTCTATTTCGGATTAATATCAGTACTGATGGAAACTTTTTTAAAAAATGGACGGAAACGAAAAAAATTAGAGGAATTCTGCTTTTAAACAATAGTTTAATAAATTTTCGTCTCGTTTTACGTTAATTCTCGTTAATTTTATCCCTGTGCCATTCAACTAGTTTTCTACATTCCTCAAAATTCATCCAAATAAAATTCATATCAAAAGCATTATTTTCCCATACGTATAATCTTCGCGGAATGCTGTTGAAGTTTTGTGCTTCCACATTTCTGGATGAAGTGCTAAGAGTTCTTCTTTAGAGTTTCTTCTTTATTATATAAATATAAATTCTATTTTCTTTTCTATTCTATTTTCATATATTTCAAAAAATTCGTGTCGTAAAGTCTCTGATTAATCAATAGTAAAAATTTAGATTCACGAAATTTTTTGCCGTTACTAGCATGCGAATTCAATCATCGTAATAGAGTCATCTGTCAGAATTCAAGTTGCCGGACAAAATAGAGAACTAGATGGAGGGTTAGTTTAATTCACACAAATATATAAAAATAAACATTATAGTAACAATATCAGTGTATTCATGCCCACTCTACAAAATTTTACTATTTATAAGTGGACTAACTACAGTTGCGAAGGACAGGCACAGGTACTGTTCTGATTGGCAAATTTACGATTATATCAATTGTATAACTTGTTGGCGAAAAATAAGATAAATTATCGGGAAGTGTGTATATTTAGGAATTATTCACTAAAGCTAAAACATCTGGCAATCCTGCACAAGACGAACAGGGAAAGATAGACAGTGATGTCTTTTTATCCGGAGGTAGAGCAGATGTCAGTGAATTGAAATAGTGGAACTATGTTTTTCCTCATATACACACACTTACCATTTGGTAATGGGAAAACCGATTTTGACGGATTCTACTCTCTTCAATTTATAGTTTTAATCAAGTAAGTTCGACCTCTACTTCATCATTGTATACAGTTCCATTATATTACTTCATTTGAACATTGCATCTTATCATATTGTATTCTGCATAATAATATTGTATTACTAACGGAAAAATTAATGATAAAAATAATTTGAATTAAAATAAAAAAATATTGCTTGTTCAAAAAGATAAAGATCAAAAATCTGAAATTAAAAATGTAAATTACGAACAATAAGTGTTGCATCATAATAACATTCACCATAAAAGGTAAGACGTCACTTCTTAGTCTTCTTTCTAAAACAATTTAGATATTTTATAATTTTGCTTCCTGGATGAGTATCCTGACTTGGTAAGACTAACTAATATCAATATTTATAATCTAACTGACAGAGTAAGACATTTAAAATTTTATTTTTTAACTTTTTTAATTTTACACGAGTGAAAAACGAAAAGAAAAATGTAGAGAATATGCACAGAAAAAAAATAGATGAAAAAACCAACTAGATATTAAATAAATGTTTTAAAAGAGAAAAAAACCATTTTGTTGTCATTAGAGAAATATGTTTACTTTTTGTATGTGCGTGTGTGTGTGTGTGTATATCGAGAGACAGAGCTAAAATAGCATCTATTTCACGTTTATAAGTAAAAACAAATAAAGAAAAAATAATAAATATAATGTTCACTGTAATATAATACAAATAAAATGAATACAAACGCACAACCATAGTCACATTCTGTTTAGTTTGAGAATGGGAATGCGTGAGATGAGTGAAAAGGCACACCCAAATCTATCCACTAATCGAGAACTTTTACGATTGCGAATATATTTACGATTGCACGAATAAAATCTTATTCTCACTGACGTCGTGAGAATTAGTTCAACATCTTAAACTAAATTAGAGGAAAACTTTAAAACTTTATTGAACTAAAAACAATACATGAATCAATCAGAATGTAGAACTGAGTGAGAGATAAAGAGATAAAGAAAAGAAATACTTACTTACTGCACACACAAAAAATAAGAAGTCAATATAATTTTCAACGCATCCTCACAAAAGATCATAGTTTTAATCAGCTTTCGTAGACCTTTTCCATCGCAAGATAAATGTCTCAATCTGAATAGCTTCAAACCATTCCCTACTTTTTTATGAGTTAACTACTATAAAAATTACTGTATAACTGCATGTCACGTTTACAATTGATTACACATAGTTTGTTTACGATTGTGAATGTGCGCTTACAGACAAAAAAACGAAGAAAATAGTGATAGAGTACAACGAAAAAAGAAAACAAACGACACAGAAGCAAGCAACAACATTATGAAACACATAAATTATTTATATCTTTTTCTCCTGGATCGTTGTATGTGTATGTGTGTGCGTACATTTGTCTCTTAGCAACAACCGCCTTTTTCAGCTGATGAACTAGGACGCTCTCCAGTACGCGGATTTGCATGTTGAGGACCAATTTTAATACCGTTAACCTTGAAATAAACAGCGATGACAAAGGGAAAAAAATAAATGTAATCAGAAAGACAAACCTCGTTTGTTGGATCGAATACTCCTTCTTGGATTTTGCCGTATATTTCTCGTGCAGTGTTTATAAATGCCTGAAACAGGTAATAAATTTAGTCTCATGCTTTGAGAAACAATTTTAATACAATTTGTTATTGGTTTTTTGGATGTGTACAAACTATTGAGAGGTTAGTCTACAAAACTGTTATCCAGTGAAAAAAAGCAATAGAGAACTTTCGATCTGTAAAATTGTATTTCTTGGATCTAGGTTGAATTGCAAGGTTAACTTTACTTACCTCTTCAACATTAGCAGCTGTTTTAGCAGATGTTTCCATAAAAATAAGACCATGTTCCCGTGCAAACGCTTCACCTTCCTCTTTTTGTACTTCACGGCGTGCAAATAAATCGCTACAATAGAGAAATATAGTGAAACACCTTAAATTCAACAATTTCTGAAATTTACCATTTATTTCCAATTAACATGATAACCATATTTGAATTAGAATGTTGGCGTGCATCTTCTAGCCAACTTGTTAGATGATTAAATGTATGACGTCTATAAAATACAAACTTGTGTTTAAAAATCAAAAAAGTAAAAAATAATATTTACATACTGCGTAATATCATAGACAAGCAGAGCTCCTGCTGCTCCACGATAATATGATCTTGTTATAGAACGAAAACTTTCTTGGCCAGCCTGATTAATAAACAAAAGAGGCTCATTTTCACATGCAAAGATTAAAACTCATTTCAATTATATTTACTGTATCCCATATCTGTAATTTTATTTGTTTACCATCAATTGTAATCATTCGTGCACCAAATTCCACACCTAATAAATCATAAAAGTAAAATTTAGTACAATTGTTGAAAATGTCGCGCCTATACACATACCAATTGTCAGATCATGTACTGGTTGAAATCTTTTATCAGTAAATTGCAATAATAAACATGATTTACCAACGCCTAAATGGAACAAAAGAAGATATTGTTTTAAACTCTAATTAAACAATTCGATACAACGTTTACATAGAGATAAAGATTCAGAATGCTGAACTAAATAAGATACAAAGTTCATTACCTGTGTCTCCAATAATAATATATTTAAATAAATAAGCATAAGCCATATTGTTTTATTAATTTTTCAAAGTGAATTTTATGTTATGTTCTCTTTCTTCTCAGTTTTATTAGAATAATGAAATTGATAATTAAAATCGAAAAATCTAAAGAGAGAAAAGTGTTCCACTTCACACACTCTTTAATGGCACAAAATTAATATGAAAACTTATGACACATGCCATAAGATCTGTCAGTAGCCTTTTCAAGCATTTGACAAGTAGTAGCTGGTCTGTTAGAAATTTAATACAGTAAAAAAGTACGTATCTTTATATTTTAGATCATTAAAAATGTCCACACGTCTCATTCTACACTGTACTAGAGAAATTAGTATTAAAAATGAATCATACAAAAACAAAAATAATATTTATTTCGTTTTGTCAAAAAGTAGAATCAGCTGACGTGATTCAAGCTATCACAATAGAATGACCTACCACGATGATAAAAATAGTGTCATTGGCTTAAAATAAGAGCCAATAAAAATTCGTGGATGCAGAAAACATAATCAAAGGGGAAAAAGTGTTGGACATGATTTCCCCGTAGCAACAGAGTTATGCAGAGGAATGAAGTTCAGGTCACAAAGTTGAGTATACGCGTATTGTTAATTTTTGTTCACTTACGTATTATTTTCTCACTATTAACCATTTTGTTCACGACTTTTAAGCAAAATTCATTTAAAACTTGTATTTTAGGCTTGAAAATGCGATGATTCTTTTTTTTAAAATATCAGAACCAGAAGCATCAAATAAAAACAAAACAAAAATAACTTGAGTTAGTGAAGAAAACAAAAAAGTGAAGAAAAAATTTGTAAAACAAAAGCAAGAACAAGCAAAAGAAAAAGGCAAAAATTACAAACTTTTATTAGCTGAACAGTATGGTTTTAAACAATCGAGTTATAATTTTTCTAGTTATTGTATCGTTGAGATCTGTCTGATATAAATGAAACATTAGGATCCCATTACTTCGCAGATGGTTTTCATAATTCTCTACATATTCTAAATATTCTTAAAACATAGAATATAAAACATTATATCTGTTAAGGAGCAGAAGTTTTAGAATTGATAAGATAGTAACAGCAGCTGTTTGTAGATTCATCTTTATTTAATAAAAATTAAAAATTTTTTTTTTAAATTTTATTAAATAAAGATGAATCTACAAACAGCTGCTGTTACTATCTTATCAATATAGAATATAAACAGTCTGCGAGGTTCAAACGTTGTATGAATTTCTTTTGGTATAAAAAGCGGTTGTGAAGTACTAACTTACGGCCGTTTACATTCGATCTATATCGAAATGTTTTTTAATAAATTGTTTTTTGTGTTAAATAATAATGTTTTCGATAATGTTGTCAATAATCCGTATATATTTAAAATTGTCAAAAGTGTTATTCAACACCAAAGTTGAAACAAATAAAAAAACTTAAACAAAAACAACATATCTAATGGGTTCTATTATACTGTGAAGTACAAACGAATAAGCAAAATATTCAACAAATTTGAAATCAAAAAAGCTTCATATTATATGAGTTTTATTCTCCTTCGCAAAACATATAAGCAGGGAGAGACGTCTAATGAGAAAAAGTAAGAAAACAAACTTGAGTATGTATTAACATCCATCCTCTTTTACTACTATGGATCTTATTTTGAATATTCTTTCTGTTGTTTTATTTATATCTACGAGAGCTCCTATTTTAGCAATTTATACTATACAATAGACTTTGAAAGACGAATATTTGGTTTCTTGTATCCAGAAAGAAGCTAGTTCAATGTAAATTTCGACACTTACTATTACAAAATTTTTCTCATTAATTGCATTTAGTGGTACAATGCATTTTGTTAGTGCTTTAAGGTTGTTATTGTCTAAAATGAGAAAAAAATTGATAACATAATTAGACTGGCAATAAGTGTCTTATAACTTTTGATGCAAACATGTGTCAAAGCTATTCGACATTTATTTTAACTAAAAAATCATGTTCTCCAGACTATCGTTATAAAATTTACGCTACTTATTTGGACTCGCTTGAGCGCGTGAATAGCCAATATTCAATATATTTTAATGGTCAACAAATGCAATATCAAGAACAAGTATTTTCGCAAGGTTACACTGCAGTCTGTTTGGTCTTTTTATTATCTTTTAACTTTGCTCGTAGACACGAAGTAATTGAAGGGGAGGCAGCGACCGATCCACCACGTTTATGCTGTATAAAGTTAAGTTCTACGAAAAAGAGATATGACAAACGGCTTGAATGGAACTGTGTGTGGGTAATCATAGTTCGAATATTTGCTGAAGTAAAAATTTGATTAACTCTTTTCTATGAATTTTTATCTGGAAATCTCGGAACTTTTGGTATGTTTTAGGTATTTTCGTGGTCCATCGTTATTTAGTACTAATTTTACCAATATAATAAGACAAATCATAAATAATTTTAGTGCCCTAGAGATCAAATCTTATATAGGATTCCTATAGGAATCTTATAGAATATTTGTAAGAATCTACGAAGAATCTTATAAGAAACGTATGAATTTCTTAACAGTCAATGGAAATGCGTAGAATATCGATAAGAATCTTGTATAAGAAACTAGTAAGATCTATATAAGAATCGTAATGATTCATATAAGAATTTATAGAATTCTTATATAAGATATTTGTAAGTCAATTGCTTCGAACGTATATAAGGTTCCGATTCTTATAAGCAATACAAGGTGAAGATTTCTGTCAGCCAGTTAAATACAAACCGAAGGTTGATACTAGAGGATATAACACAATTTCATTCCATTTTTTAGTAATCAGCACTTAAAAAAGATGATTCGAAATAGAACAGTGGTAGATGACACATGTGTACCAAAAGTGGTGTTCTGCGTGGAGTAGTAAGAGAACATTTACCAGTAAAATGTGAGGAATTGACATCGACTATTATCGATGACTATTGCGTGTATCTGCGTGTATTTTATGGGTTTCAAATATAAAAATGAACATTTTCTTCGGGTGGTATAAAGGTTTTTGGAACAACCCTCCAGCTTTTTTATGCACCTCGGTTCCCGTTAACAGAAGCACTACTAGATGGCTGATAGTTACTGTCGTTTGTATATAGCCATTGTTTATAGTAGTCTTTCCTGGCAATAGCAGAATGGTCATCGTTGTTGTGAAAGTCGACTTAGTACGAATTTGGCTTACGACGTTAGCGCATGCTATAAACGACGTTACTTATGTTCCTCTCAGCATTGAGAAAGATTTTGTTTTTTGATTTAGGTTTTGGTTTATGTTTGCTATTTTTCGTCTAATTTAGTTTAAAAGAGAAATTAAAGCACGGTTTGAAAATATTTGGGTTTGCATTTGCAATTGAATTAGTAGACTTTTAACGTTGTTCTTTATTAAAAGCTGCCGTTTTCGTAGTTTAGCAGCTCGTACATCAGCTCATGTGTTACTAGGCCCGTCTTGATGAGATCGATTACTGGATATATGATTCATATAGCTTGAACGCATGCGTTTCTTTCAGTATTACGATTACCAAGCTTATCAGAAAGGAAGGATTTTCTTTTCTACAGTGTATAATAACAATGCAAATCCCTCATTCACATGGATGCATTGTGTCAATTTTACGTTTAACAACAACATGGTAACAATTACTATCGCTTTTAGGCGAATAGTGACAGTAGTAGACACCTGTTACTATCACGAAGTGATACCAATAGGTTTCTGTTACTGTGTTCTATGATTTGTTGTTTTTTGGCGCACTAGTTGGACTAGCATTAACTGTTCTTGGCATAAAATAAAATGAGCAAAGAGATATGATGAAAGTTCAACAAATACAGAAGGTGATGCTATATTTAACACCTATAGAACATTGAAACAGTCAATGATCATAAAGAATAACGCTGAACAGTAAGTATTAGCATCTACCATCAGCGACGTTCCCATTAGAACTTTTGGAAATAATTAGAAATTAATGCGAACTACATGTTCGATACATGTTTTAATTATTAAGTAATAAGTCTCTAAAGTTGAGCATATTTTCAATAACTTTTCTATGAGATAATTAATTCACACATGACACCTCATATACATTCAGTATGAATAGTGTAGAGTGATTCACTAAGTAGTCACGTACTACTTATCAGCCCATACTTCTGTATAGTCTGATACATTTATACTCTGAAACATTATTACCGATAAAATGTATCATATGTTTACTACTAGAGCACGGGAGTGTTCTAATCGTATTTAAGGGATTCAAGCAGTGTCTAAAGTGTTTCTGAGATACGTTTCACTCGGTCGAGTATCCAATCTGCCCGTAGGGCGGTTGGCATCTAGTTATTATTATTTACTATCGCCGCCATCAAAAATGAAGGCGTAAAACTCACACTTCGCCAACACTGAGTCCCAATGTTGAATTACACTAAATGATCATCAATAGAATCATGAACTTCTATTGCCCGTTATTCATATCTTTTATTTATATAGTTTGAAAAAGTATACAATAAAATAAAAATCTCCGTTGATCAGGGTTTCATAGTTCACCGTTAGCAGTGCATCAATGCATAAACATATTTTCATCATTTAATTTAAATGTTTTAAGAAATTTTGTATTTTTATTATATTTTACAAAAAATTCTTGCAGTCGTTTTATTATTTTTTGATCAATAGTCTGTTATGTCGTCCAAATTTCAATAGGTTTTAAATTTGATGGAATTCGAGCTACTGCTGTACGTAAGTGTCTTATAAATTGTTGGTGATCGCGATCTACGTAAATCTTGGTCAAAACAAAGTTCATTAATAACCAAATGTTTTAATTTTGGTACATATGGTAATAATCGTTCAATTAATGTTGTTAATGTTATTTCTGTATTCCGATGGGTAGTTATATCATTTATACCTAGGAAAGTAAAATAAAACATTTCATCATGCCAAGCTGAATGTATCAGGCGTCGTTGAGCTTAGTAAATGAAATTCAAGTATGTGTTTTTTCTCCTTCTTCACCGTGATGTACAATTTCATTTTTTACTACGATAAACAGCCTGTACCGGTAGAGCAACCCAACACTGACAAACACTCACTTACCTAAAATGTTCGTTTCTAAATTTGGTGCCGGTGTTTGTACTTGAGTAAATTTTAATTCAGCATTATCTGGGCGTGTATAAGGACCATGTTCACATGAACACGAATAAAACTGAGTATATAAATTTAGAAATTTTAGAAATTTCATTGATGATGATATTAATTGACCACATATTGTTAAAATAAACAAAAAAGAAAAAAGATCGACAGTGTGAACCACTCCCTAAAAAACCGAAACAAAGTTTCTTGTTAGCAAAGTTTCGCGTTTACTTTCTTTCTCTCATAAAGCCAACTCTTCGATTGTTTTCTCACTTTCAATATCATGTTCTTCGTCTTTTATTTCATCAATTAACTCAATTCTAACGAGCGATTCTTGCAGATTTGGTATTACTCGCAATGTTTGGATTACCAATGAAACATTCATATTAGACATATACAACGATTTTAAGTCAAAAAGTTTTTGTTGACATAAATCATCTTCTAGCAACACAGAAGGAAAGAAACTTCCCATGTGGTACATGATCAAAATCCAGATAGATTTTAGATTCGCCCTGGATAAGTAAATTAAACCAATGATTAATGTCAAAAATGTTTGAAACAATGAATAATAATCAAAATATTCAAAACAATCTAATAACAACTCATTTGATAAGTGTTAAATTTGGTTATTCTTAAAAAAAAGAGTTTAAGACAATAAATAGTTGCGCATAAGAACTAGACAAAACAAAACAAACATCAGTTATGTAGTTTTTAAACAATATTCTTTTTATAATAAAAGTGAAAGTCAAAAGAAATGGAATAATCTTATTCCCATAATCTTCTTTTTCTAATATTCAATATAACGTCCGTGAGCCACAGTGTAATTACTCAATAGTTCCGTCTTTGTTCTTTTTTCTCAAAGATAACAAAAAAACGTAGTCGGAAATATTTTTGTGCTGCTATTCTTCTTCGTTTCCTTTTCTAGTTGAGCTTTTCAAAAGCATTCAAGTATCTGTCCGCCTAGCGGTCCTCCCTCATTTGTGATTTCAAAGTGTTGCATTCTCTGAGAAATATGATTTTTACCCGTGAATACTAAAACATATCGGTGTGGTTTCCCTGTACCCGCCAGAGGCCGAATCGAGTCGGATCGGATCGGGTTCAGGCCACAAACAAAAATTTGATTCGAGTCGGGTTGGCTTTGGGTCTTAACAAGATTTTTTCAGGTGAAAATCGAGTCACAAGGAGGGAAATTGATCCGAATGACTCTTGTTATTTTAGTTGTCAAATTAAAAAAGTAAAATACACGGATATCTGAGTGTACTTGACGGTTTTTGTGGAAGCATTTCTACTTTTTATCCGAAAATCTCTACAACAAAGTACTTCAGAAGTAGTGGCATGAAGAAATAAATTGTTTTTCTGTGTTTATGTATCAAAAAATTTATAGATTTCGGGCCACAGTCAGAAAAATTTTGATCGGATTTTTGTTTGGGCCATTAGCCATTGGTCCCTCCGATAAAGGAAACAAAATAAAGATAAACGAAAAAAATAGGTCTTTATACTTGCTTTTAGCACTAATAAAAAAATTTTCAGCCAAGTCGAATAGAAAAAAAGGGAGATCGTTAAGGGTTTGTCTACTTCACATTTTTCGTTCAACACACATCACGATTTAATAAAACAGAAAAATTAGCCGCTTTTTCTGTTCTTTTTTCTGTTCCGTCAGAACGAAAACAAAATTTTTGAAAGTGGATTTTTCGTTTTGTTTTCGATTTAAAAAATCAAAGTTGTAGTTTTTCTTTTATTAGTTGACACAAAACTAATGTTATAACGCAAAAACGAGACAGAATAAGTTCGATTTTCAGTGATTATTTAACGATTATTTAATACTTATATATATGATTGACTGGATAATTGTTAGATAAATTGACCATCTGTGTCTTCTATATATGCTTTTTTGTTGCGCATATGAAATAAGGTGAATTCACCGATTGTTATTTATTCCATGTTGTATTAATGTCACTTCTGGTACTAACGATTTTGAATTACAACTTTCTTGGAAGTATCGATCGGAAAACACGATATGTTTAGTAGATTTCTGTGGAACTCATCAAATAAATATAGGTTGTATCATAATTGAAAGCTATCAACTAGGGCGATGCGTTCACTGGTTACCTCTACAATGGTTGTATTTAGTATGAAAAGAGCTGAAGTGCAAGATTCTGGTGAGAAAGCGGTGTCTTTAGTCTTCTCCCATGAAGCAGTTTACATGGCGTACCGTTGATATTGCTGGGACTGGTAATGAAATTAACGTGTCCTATATCTGGTACAAACATGTAATACGGAGGGAGTTGATGATTTGTCGTCATCGTCGGCTGTAGATGGATGTAATGTATTTGAATTTTTCATAGAACAATCGCAGCCCATCTTCGAAAAGAAAAACAAAAGACTAAGAGACACTTTCTCAGAAAGTAAGACGGTGTCAGACCGGTGGTGATTCTGAGAGTGACAGATCGGTCAGAAATTTCTTTACCAAAGATAGTAAACATATAGATGAGTTTATGATGAAAATTTCAATTAGAATTTATTTTTCTTGCACCATGCAGAATTAAGAATCTCTCACCTCCTCTGTTATCCGAAATAAAAATAAAATAAAAAACAATCGAGATGCCGGACAAAATTGACGAGTCAAAACGTGCTTTCCTCGTCTGAAACTTTTCAATCTCGCGTCAGGAAACAGTAGACTGAGAATTTGAAACAGTTTCCCTGTTTTTGAAAATTATTTGCGCGTATTTTACGGGTTTCGAATAGAAAAATGAACATTTTTTTCGGATGTTATAATGGTTTTGGAACAGGGTTCTCAGATACCTCCTCATTCGACCATTTTATCCCCACGGGAGATTTTTTTGAAGTCATAGCACCGCTGCATCACATCTGAGAGGAAAAGATTGGCGGGTTATTACGTAATATGCAAGGATTTATGCCGTTAACATATCTTGTCACAAAGATCATTATCATATAGGTTTTTCGATAGTTTGTAGCAAACAGAGTTATTCTGAAATTCGAACCGTCCGCAAAACATCACTCTTCCTGTCGTGCGCGTCTCAGGGTTTATCAGATGTGTGATATGAATTTGTGGATAAAACCCAATTTAAAGGAAAAATCTATTGTTTGAAATTTGACAAATTAGCTTTGGAAGATTGAACTCTAAATTAGAACTGTAAGAAGAAATGATAGTGTATTCCTAACGAAAATAGTTAAAAAATTCACAATATTGATTTTAATTTATTTGCAATATGTGAATTTAGTTGAACTCATCGGGTATTTTAGATTGACATGACATTATTTCGTTAAAATAAGCGTCCCTCATTCGGAACTTTCTGTCTCACATTCGAAAAAAATAATTTGAGACCCCTGTTTTGAAACAACCCTCCAGCTTTTTTATGCACCTCGGTTCCCGTTAACAGAAGCACTACTAGATGGCTGATAGTTACTGTCGTTTGTATATAGCCATTGTTTATAGTAGTCTTTCCTGACAATAGCAGAATGGTCATCGTTGTTGTGAAAGTCGACTTAGTACGAATTTGGCTTACGACGTTAGCGCATGCTATAAACGACGTTACTTATGTTCCTCTCAGCATTGAGAAAGATTTTGTTTTTTGATTTAGGTTTTGGTTTATGTTTGCTATTTTTCGTCTAATTTAGTTTAAAAGAGAAATTAAAGCACGGTTTGAAAATATTTGGGTTTGCATTTGCAATTGAATTAGTAGACTTTTAAGTAGTAGCGGCGCCAGGGCAGGGCTAGGGTGGGCTGAGCCCAACCATCCAAAAATTTGAAAACAGAGCACTCACTAGCAATAGTCACGTAAAAATTCTGAACGAATTTTTGAAAAATTATGGGCTAAGCCCAGACACCCGAAAAATCCTGGCGCCGCGCACTACTTTTAAGGTTTGTTTGATTTACCTGCGTTGCGAAGGTGACGGTTGTGGTATTTTCTGGATTTTTTGGCTGTTTTGTGCTTCTTGCAACTGGACCATTAACAGATGTAATTGGATTGGCCATCGAGCCAACATCTAACGAATAATTATGATTATCAATTAGCGCTGTTAAAAACGACACCATCTGACCAGTTTGGAGCCGGTGGTCAATTTCGAATGAGCATTTGATACACAATGTATCACTCAATCTTGGGGTCAATGTGGAGGTTGGTGTTGCTTTACTATTCGTGGCAAATGATAGCCATTTCTATATGCTCCTTTCGTTTTGATTATGGGTTGTTTCCTCTTAGCTCCAAATAGTAGCTCCTTAAGGAGCCAGGAACAATGCCAACTGACGTAGATAACAACAACTCCTTCTTGGATCTGCTATCCAAACTCCAAACAACCTCATGAACCACATAATTAAGTTGTTTATCTAAATTAAACCGGGCCACTTGACTAAAGATTTTGAAGTACGATTTGTATGCTGCAGAAAATGAACAAGTGCTGGTTTTTTGTAATAAATCTTTTTTCATATGTTGTGAAAATATTAGAAAATAACACAAATGTGTTCTTTTAAACTCAATAACGTTTCCTTTTACAGGTCACATCGGTTATATCTTCTATTGTTTTTGAATGAAAATATTAAACATCAGCGTTTTTGTTGATTAGTGGATCTCGCTTGAGCAAAATGGGTTTCTACTTTGTTAATCCGATTTCCACTTTGTTTTTAGCAGGGAAAACATGGAAAATGCAGTGGTAAACTGTGGAAACCCACCTTGCTTAAAATTCCTATTAAAAACACTGTTAAACATAGTGCATTTCTATAATATAATTGATCACGTCATTTTCTACGTTTTTGGTCGCAACTCAATGTTTGCTTCCACTTGACCTATCACTCATCATAAATGCTTCTTCTCCCTCTAGTTTGATTGTGTTGGAGGACGTTTGAAGTTATTGAAATAATTTGGTGTTTGGTCATTTCTAGATGGTTTTAACAAAACAATATGATCGGCATTGTCCCGAACGTGTGTTTGGCATAATTGGTAGTGGAAATGGTGATATTTGTCTGTTACCTCAGAAAACAGGATCTACTATTAAGTCAAAAGGAAATTCAAGACGAGTATTAGTGGCTGCATGTGAAAATGTTCTTCTCTGGGATCTTAAAACGCAAGCAAATGTAAGCAGTTGTGCCTTTTTCTTTCGTTCTGTCACTTAACATATACTGGCCTACCGCCAAGGGATGCCGTTACGATAATTCTCCACTTTTTTTTAATGATGGGTTTTCGTTACCTTAAATACATCGCAAAAGAGCTTGAACAACTCTAACCAGATTAGAATAACAAAAACCCAAAGAAAAGAAACGCCAGATTCCGTAGCAACGACATCTCTTGAGGGCGGGACTAATAACAAACATAAACAGTTCTCTTCTTCTTGCATCTCTTTTCTTGATGTTTTCATTCATTAGTTCTTTTTACTCTTTGTGAAGCCGAACAATGGCGGTATACAATATACACATTTGACGGTGTTCTTCTTCAAATAAATTGATTAAGTGGAATAAATGTGAGAAAAGATCAGTTATAACTAAAACGTATTTTTTCTTGCTTTAGATAAACACGTATGCTGAGTTAAACACATCAACCACATCAAAAAAAGGAAGAGAAGAAGTAGTCACAGTCTCATGTAGCACAAATGGCAAACATCTTGCTGTTGGCTATCAAAATGGTATATTGAAATTATTCGATATTGATAAAAACAATGAACCAGTTATTACATTTCACGGACATAAAAGTTCAATTAGTACATTAGCATTCACACATGATTCGTCAACATTAGTGTCAGGTGGAAAGGTCTGATGTTGTTAGAAGTCGCATTTAATTAAAAGAATTAAGGTTACATTCTTTTTTTGACTTTGTAGGACACCGATATTATTGCATGGGATTTGATTACTGAATCAGGCCTGTACCGATTGCGTGGTCATAAAGCACCTATTACAAAAATTGTTATCATGCAATTTAAACCAGTTTTAATTTCAAGGTAACCTATCGTTGACGCAGTGAATTCAATTTTCTTTTTGCATATATTAGCATTACTTTTCAGTTCAAAAGATATGACTATTAAACTTTGGGATATGAGTATTCAGCATTGTTTTCATACAATCGTTTCTCATCGAACAGAAGTACGTTTTATGGTTTGATTTTAAACTATTTGCCAAAATATTCATGTAATGTATTTTAGATTTGGAGTATAGCAATTGCTTATGATAAATATTTAATTACTGGATGTTCAGATAATGAATTACGTTTTTTTGCTTTAAGATCAATAACAGTATGTGTCTATTACTGTTTAAAAAATTGATCTGATATTTTATTATTTATGCATAGGATGAATCAATCGCTGAAGATGATATGATGTTGCCTCCTATTGGATTAAATGATGAACAATCGTCTACGAATGATCAGGTAAAGCTATTAAAAGTATGTGCTGATCAGATTTCTATTCAGATATTTGTTTTTTCGATTAGACACTTATACAAGTTCAATATATTGCTTCGATTGTACGAAAAAGTAAACAACGTATAGCTAACATTATTCTGGATCGTGATCATCATGTATTAGCCTGCCATGTATGCAATATAGTTCAGTTATCACAAAATATGTTCTAAATACAAAATATCTCTTTTTTAGGGAATTGAACCATTAGTTGAGCTTTTTCGTATCAATAGTGAAGAAGAAATCAAAACAAAATTACGAAAACGTTTAAAAAAAGAGCGAAAACGGTTAAGGTTAGTATAGACGAGACGATCATTCGATAATCTTGTGTAAGTACTGGGTAAACAATTTTTATTTTATTTCTCATCCAGGGACAATGACGATGATGAGGCTAATGCTAAAATTGAATGGGACATAAGTCTAATAATTAGTCCTTTATGTGAAATACGTTTTGACGGAAAAGTTCGATCGATTGATTTATATATGGAAAATGATGACATTTGCAAGGTAATCTAGTTTATTAGAATATCAAAAGATTTAAACTTATTTTCAATTTTTTTTCATTAAATAGATAGTTGCATTGACATACTCTAATAAACTTGATGTACGTTCAATGAATATTAACGATAAATTACCAGTTAATATTGAACAAGTATCTACTATTGAAAAGCCTGGTCATCGTACAGAAGTTCGATGTTTGGCATTTAGTTCAGATGATATGTTAATTGCATCAGGAAGTTCTGAATCATTAAAAATCTGGAATAGGTTAGTGAAAAAATTTAAAAATTAAATATGATTTTTTTTTATAATCCGTGAATTTATTTTAGATACAGTTCTGAATCTATACGTACAATCTCATGTAATTATGCTTTATGTTGCTTATTTTTACCTGGTGATCATTTTGTTATTATTGGATGTAAAGTAAGTTCTAGATACATACATATGACTATTACTAATCATTATTACTTTATGTCTAGAATGGTTCACTAGAATTAGCATCACTGGATTCAGCATCAATAGTTGAAACAGTTCAAGCTCACGATAAATCAATATGGTCAATATGTTTAACACCAGATCGAGTAATTTTTAATTTTGATACATAGGATCACTCTACATTTTAATTTTAAAATAACAAGAAGTTATATTTATTTATGTCTAGCGTGGCTTCATCAGTGGTGGTAGTGATAAAAAAATTAAATTCTGGGATTTGGAATTACGTGATGATCAGAGTGAGGAGAATGGAAGTGTGAAGAGGTAAACAAATATTGACTATTCTTTTTGATTATTTTCGTTTATCTATTTTTTTATTTTAAGTTCAGAAAACGATTGTCATTTCAGCAAAAACGTTTATTTGATGTTGGTGAAGATGTATTAGCATTGAAAATTTCGTACGTACTATTTTGATGTATATAAGTGAAATACGAAAAGAAATATTTGTTTTTTTTTCTATCATTCTAGACCAAACAATCGTTATTTGATTGCTGCACTTATGGATACAACGGTGAAAGTATTTTTCACAGATACCTGTCAGGTAATATAGAATGTCTATAAAATCTGTTGTTTTTCAAAAACAATTTGTTTTCTCTAGATGTTTTTATCATTATATGGTCATAGCCAACCTGTTCTTTGTATTGATGTATCATTTGATAATAAATTAGTTATAACAGGCTCAAGTGATCGTAATGTAAAAATATGGGGTCTCGATTTTGGTGATTGTCATCGTTCAATATTTGCTCATGATGATAGTATTGTGGCTATTCAATTTGTTCCAAAAACATATTTGTTTTTCACAGCTGGAAAAGATGCAAAATTAAAATATTGGGATGCCGATAAATTTCTTCACATTCAAACACTTGAAGTAAAACATATTTTTTACAAAATTATTGTTCATTACTCTTGTTCTTATTTAGGGCCATTGTGCTGAAATACGTTGTATGTCACTAACCAACAATGGTCTTCATATCGTTACAGCCGGTCATGACAAATCAATAAGATTATGGGAACGTACAGAAGAACCGTTAATATTAGAAGAAGAAAAAGAACAAGTAAAACAGACTAAAATAGCAAAGTCGCAGATTTCTCTTTTTGTTGTACCTACTATAGTTAAAAAGTTTGTTTTTCAACATTTTCTAATGTAAAAATCTTGATGTTAAATGACACTTTACTTAAATCTAAATATAGTTTTAGTGAAGTTTCTTCTGTTTTGTTCTTTTAGGAACGTGAAGCAGAATTTGAAAATGAACTTGAAACTGAAGAATTTGTATTAGCTGGTGAAACAAATAAAGAAATTGGTTTAGCAACACTGAAAACAATTGAGAGTTTAAAAGGAGTATGATTCTTTTGTCTATTCGTATCTCTGTGTGCATCTAAAGGTAGAAAATATATTTTAGGCAGAAGGTCTTATTGAATCAGTGGATATTTGGCGAGAAGAAAAATTGAAACATGCTGAACATGAGGCAGCTCAAAAAGCCATTGGCAAAGATGTATGAATTGTTACTCATTTTCTTTTACGTATATTGTTCTTTGAAACTGTGTATATTATAGTTGCCTCCCCCACCTATGCACATGTTACTTCAAGCTATGGGAAAAAATATGACACCAGAACGATATGTACTTGATACATTAAAAAAAATACCATCGAGGTAGAATATGATGACATGAAACATAATACTCCCTTTTTACTTTTTATATTATTCTTTGCAGTGATTTGGAAGCAGCTTTATTACTATTGCCATTTGATTATGTTCAAAAGTTCTTGATATTAATGATTTCTTTTCTTGATAATAATGTGTCGCTTGAATTATGTTTGAAAAGTACAATATTTCTCATGAAGTAGGTATGATAATAGTAGTTACATTCATCAATAAATTTATAACCTTTGTTTAGAATTCATCACGGTCTATTAACATCGTCACAACAATTTCTACCGATTGTTGAACAATTAAGAACAAAATGTTCTATGATAATTGAAAATCTAAGAGTATATTGAAATTAAGTTATAATGCTAATTTTGATAATAACTGTGCCTTTGTTTTGTTATTTAGAATAATGTTGGTTTTAATTTAGCTGGATTAAAATTTATGAAACGTAAAATAGAAGAACAAAACGATGTGGTTTTATTTGCCGATGCGACACAACGTTTGTCAAAGAAACGAAAAAAAGCAAAATCATCCGCTATTTTAACCATTAAAGCTGCATCAGCATTAGTATAATTGTTTTTGTTTTTTGTAATGATGTGTTACTTGTTTATAAAAAAATAAATGAAATAAATCGTACGATCAATACATTGCTTCAATCAAACATTGAAAAATGAATGGATCTTAGAACAATTGTTGAAGTTCTTCTCCTGTCCGACCTTCATACGTTGGACTTTCGCATCTACACATTTTCTCATGGCACTAAATTGTGCAAAAGGTTATGATGATACATAACTCAATGTACAATGAGAAAATGTGTAGTTGGAGAAGTCCAATATATGAAGGTCGGAAGATCGAATCCAGGAGAAGAATTTCAAAAATTGTTCTAACATCTCGCCTTTAAACACTATTTCTCTACAATAAATGGATCAATCTTAGATCTAAGAACATCCGTCAATCAAAGCAACATGACAGTAATTCCTTAAATAAGTTCATACTACTACTGACTATTTGATTTAACGTATGGTTTTTTGCAATGGCTTTTTCTCATAAATTAATTGTAAAAGCGATTATGAAAGGTTATCTTCAAATTATGTTTAGTGTTTCTTTTAGTTATCCTTGACGAAATTGACGAGTGCTTAAAACGAATTTAGTTTAGTTTTATATATGAAATATGTCTATATTGTGCTCAGAACGCGCGAAACATCCCTAATATTAAAACTTAAAACTTATTGTTTAATAGTCTAATACTTTTATTTATAAAAGTTAGTTCTCAGCGATACAAAAATGTTTTTATCACGCAAGAAAAGTGGAGGCAGTCCATCAACTGAATCTCATTTAGACCCGATTAATGACAACGATGGAGATGAAAGTGGAACAACCGGGAGTGGAGATAGCAGAAATGAAATTACTCATATTAGTCATGATAGCGAAGATTTTGGAGAATTAGGTAATATTTCAGTCTTTCTAGGGAAAGAGACGGATGTTTATCCTTTTTTTTCGTAGAGAAATCGTCTCGTCTCGATCATTTGGAAGAATCATCTATGCACTTTCAAGACAAATCAGATTCAGCTATTGACCAAGCAGAAGATATACAGTGAGCAATTTGAGCGTAATCTTTGCCAAAAATTGGAAGTTTAAGCCGCTTATTGTTCTTTTAGAAAAAAGTCAAATTTTGAGGAGTTTATTGATGCCATAAATACGTTAAAAACGACAAAATCTTATGAAATATTTTATGATGGTGCTGAAGAAGCTTTGCCGTATTCTGACGATGAATATGTTGCTGAGGATGATGAGCGATTTTTTACAGACGAAGATCGTTTATCATTTTCGCGTGAACAATTAGTTGAATATCAACATTTAACGAAATTGTTACGTTTTGTCAAGGTTAGTATCTTATGAAATATACGCAATAAGAATAGACATTTGTTGTATTATAAACAATATGTTTAGTGTAGGGTGGGGGTCGATGCACGACAATTTTATCCTTATCAATATTAAAAGATCATGATTTACAAGATCGCAGTGCATTTTCAGCGTTCAAGGATAGCGGGGCTATTAGTGTTTTATTGAATTTTATTGAAATGTCTGATCGTGATTTAAAGGTTGGCATAAGCAATGAAATAAAAGATTGTTAAATAATATGATAATCATTTTAGTTAACCACTCTATGTGTATTACGAGATGCGTGTAAAAATCCAGCATTTGCCTACGAAATATTTCGATTAGGTGGAATAATAACAATCATTGATAGTATGACCACTGATCATGTTGGAATGCAAGAAAGTTGTGTGATATTGTTGAATGTACTACAATTTCGACGAGCAAGACGCGTAGTGAGACGAGTAGGATCAATCAGTAAATTAGTATGTTGTTTTTCATGGACAATAATATAAATATAAGAGACGATGAGTATTTTAGTTAACCGTCTTAGATGAACTCAGTGAATCAATGAACGAAAATTCTTTAACAATCGCATCTGTGACACGTGTTATTCTTCTCATATGTAAATCCGAAAAAAATAAATATGTTGTCATTCGATATGGTATACCAAAAGTTATTATGAAAATTATTGCGAGTATTCCACATTCTTCAGCCACACCTATTATTTCACTATTAGCTGTACTGCTAAAAATTGTGAGTATTGTTATTAATTTCTTTTCTTAACAATGTTCAGTAAGTAATTTTATTTTAGCCTGCATTTCGTACGCAAATGTGTGATCCTGATTTGACAATGAATATAATCAAGTTTTTAGATAATCAAGATATTGATTTAGCTCGCTCTAGTGCCGAATCATTACATTATCTCTCATTTGATCCACAATTGTTACGTTTTATTCGACAAGCAAGTAGCAAATTAACAGACATAATCAAAACAACAAAAGATCCATCTGTATTTTGTTCGGCTAGTAACACGTTAACAAGACTTGTGGGTGATAATGACTTTTTGAAACGTTTTCCAGATGATGTTATAGAAAATATGGTTGATTTTTTGAAAAAAGATAATCCAATGTATTTATCAAGAATAATGTTGTCACTCGTTGAGTTATCAAAAATATCCACAGCTGTTCAAGTATTTAAACAACGAAAAATATTTTCAATACTTATTAAACATTTGCAAACATCAAATAGTGATGATATTATATGGAAAACTGTTTTAATTTTACAAGAATGTGGCAAAGATCAAGAAGCAGCAGAGTAAAACAAAGATTTCTCACTTCTTCTATGTGTTATATTAAAAACTAACATTTTATCTTTTCTTTGTTTTAGATTGATTAATACCAATGGAGGTTTACAAGAATTATGGACATTATTAAGATTGGGTTCACCTCGCGTTCAAATAGGAGCTGGATGGGCAATACGAAATTGTTTGGCTGCAATAGAAGTATGTTATTATGAAAATTGTCGAAAATATGTAGTAAAAATTCAGTTTATATTTTAGAATCATGGTGAACTTGTTCGATCGTTTGATGGAGTATTTTATTTGCTTTTGGCAACGTTAAATATTGAAGATGTTCATTTATTAGCAGCTACATGTGCCATCATTGCGGAAGTGGTTAAAGATTCAAACAATTTACAAATATTAACCGATTTAGGGGTGGTTTATAAATTATCAAGGTTACCACATTTGGTGAGTTTGCAGACAAGGGAATAAAATATAAAATGACCTTGATCAATAATAAATTATTTCAAACTTTTGCTTCTTCTAAAAAGAAGCTCGAGAAATTATGTTTATGTTTTAGAGGATAGAACTGAGTTTGGAGAGTATGTAACATAATCTCTCTTTTAGTACTCTGAGCCAGAAAAAAATTGTTCGCAAAGCAGACTGGTACTTTATGACTCTTCTTTTCCTAGAGAACGTCGATTTTCTTTCCAGAAAACTGTAACATGACAACTTTGAATTGCAAGTCTACGCCTATAGTTTGCCTAAAGAGCTCTTGGATGTTTTAGTCCTCACGAACCCAAGTGTCTTGTGGACGTGTTATGTAACTTCTAACTTCCAATTTATTCTCGTAATGCGAGTTCAGACTTGAAAATGTTTTCTCTATGTAATTTAAAAGGTACTCCGAATACTGCAGAGTCCTAAAAAGAAGATTATGTCACATATCTTTCGAGCTCATTTCGTGCATTTTTCCGAACTCATTTAACTTCGAATTCATAGATTATCGAATACAATGATAAGGTGACTCTGTTCAGTCTATATCACGTTTGGTGTTTAAACTGGCTTGTCACACAGAGGAAAAGCTTTGAATTCGAGTTTGAAGTTTAACGCTATTGACTATTCTCTTTACTTTCAGGAAGATCCAGTTTTAAGAAAACCATTTTGTGATGCAGCAGCCAACTTACTTGAACTACCAAAGAATCGTACAGACTTTAGCAACAGACATGTGTTGTCAGCAAGTAAGACAATGAAGTTAATTTTTCGATATAAGATCCGAGGAATCATCTTGTCATTGGTCCAATAACTCTTTTGAGAATTCTTCACGATGTTCTATCTTCTAGTGAGGGCATATATTGAATTGAGAGATTCAATATTAAATCAACCATTAACAAAAGCGATCTATGATTTATCTCGTATTCCATCAAATTGTATTTTGTTACATGATGTTGGTGCTGCACCGGTAAGTTTTAGCAAGCAAGAAAAATATTGAATATTTGTTGTTTTTCTATTTTCAGGGTATATTGAAGTTAATTGCCGATGAAGATCCAAATACCCAAGAAAAATCGGCATTGTCACTGAGAAATATGAGAAAATTGCTTGATGCAAATAGAAGTGCCGCTCAGAAAAGTCGTAAGGATTTAGCAAGAAGTAAGAAACTACATATTTTTCCATACGCATAACAAAGTAACAGCAGTAATCTTCATTTTATTGAAATATATATAATTAAATTAAAAACGAAAATTTTCAACGTTTCGAACTTTAAAAGTTCATTTTCAAGAATAAAAACATAAACGTGTCACTAGCTGGTTAGATTTACTAGTTATGATACATGCAGAAAAAAATTTTGAATTCTCCTGCATGCATCATAACTAGTAAATCTAACTAATTAGTGACACGTTTATGTTTTTATTCTTGAAAATGAACTTTTAAAGTTCGAAACGTTGAAAATTTTCGTTTTTAATTTAAGGGCCCCCACCTCAGAAATGGTGATTTTCGGTCAAAAAAATCGATTTTGAGATACGCACATGGAAAGATAGCCTGAAGTGTCTACTTCCAGAAGCTGTATTGCTTTTGGTTACAAAAGTGGTTTTTCCGAGATTTTGAGCAAGTTTTCTAAGAGCCTCGAAAAGATGGATCTTCAAATAATGGTTTTTTCCTGGATACTTATGCAATTAAAATTTTTATAAACACACAGATTTGTAGAGCAAACGTTTCTCATCAAAATAAGACTTCGCACAACTCTGTATGACGTTGCATCGAAAAGTTACAGGCATTTTCCTAGAAGTCATAAAATCGACTATTTCATACAGCGTTTAACACAGCGTTTTCGCTATATAAGAGTTACATCTGAAATGCGTCCCAAGATTTTTAATAGCGGTTTGTCGTAGAGAGTTCATTCTTTTTTTGTTTAAAAGAGGAAAAGAAACTACATCGACTGACCGGCGTTGATTTTTGAATTAGGTCTTAGTTTTTTGTCAAACTGAGGATTTTTAGAAAATCCGGAAGGCTTTTTCGAGTTTCGCAGGTTATTGGTTGCCTGAAAAACAAATAAGGGTTAATTGAAAAATCAGCGCCGATCAGTCGATGTAGTTAGGTGTCTAGTTTAAAATAAAACAAACTCGAACTCTCCAGTTTGAAGTATATTAAAAAATCTTGAGACGCCGTCCAGGGTCCTTTTTGGATCTTGATTTCTGGAAAACTCCTAAACCGTAAGACTTGGAAACAAAAAAAACTTTTCGTTGCCGTAACTCATTGTGCCGAACATTTACGGAAAGTTTCGTCAAGGTCGGATGTACGGTGCCGGAGATAATTTCTGAGAGGGGGGGTGCCCTTAATTATATATATTTCAATAAAATGAAGATTACTGCTGTTACTTTATTATGCGTATTAAAATTTTTGCCCATTCATAAAGAAAATGTGTGCATATTTTTCCATTGAAAGAAATGGCGAAGATTTATTTTAACGCAGAATTCATATATTTTTATTTCGAGAATACAGATTCTGTTATAAAATTGTTGATCTACTGTGATTAAAGTCACAGTTTATACAATTTGCAACAATAAGTGCGTTGATTATTAGATAGAGTGTGATATAACTGCTTCTAATTACCATCGTTAGCATACAACTAATTATATTGTGTTTCAGGTCTATCCACAAATTCTTCACGAATTTTACTATTGTTTGTTCCTCTTTTAGCTGAATTACAATCCAAGGGACAATCTTTGTTAGTCCTAAAATGTTGATTCCTTCCACTGACGTTGTAGAAAAATCTTTGTATACGCCAAACTCAAACATAGAGTTGGTTCTCTTTAATTTCAGAAGATCTTAGAGTACTATTAATGAGATTATGGCGAAAGCTTCCACGTGGGGATAAGACTCTTATTGAAAAATCATTGTAACTCGATTCAAGTTTTTTTATTTCCCGGCTACCAGCGAAAGCGGCATAGATGTGGTTAACCTTAGTTTTTTTTATGAAAAAGAAACTTTTTATTGTTTATCTTGCATTTCCGTATCTGTCTTTTTTGATTAATAAAAACTGAGTTTATTTAAAACGAAAATGTTTCAAGTTCATTACATATCACAAAAAATGGCTATCTTTGGCGCGCTCATTTTACTGCAGAAAGCTTTTTTAAGTGTGACTCTTTACAGAAAAAAACGCTTGTGTAACCTCAAATTTTGACTTTTTCAAAAAATATTTTTTACCGAAGGATAGCCTGATGTTTGCTGATTCCGAATATGTACGTACATTTGAGTAGAAGTTGAATTTGGCATGAGAAAATCGAGCGTTTCCGAAATTACTCTAATTTTAGCCATATTTTTCCATCTAACTTTACTCCATAAGGAAAATACTTAGGACGAAAAGTTTTTCGTGATTAAATTCACCATTGTTTATAGTATATATAATGCTATTAAAATGAGAGAAAACTGAACTTACATTTTATGGCCAAATTTTCGCCTAGAAACCCACTGTGCATTATATAGTTGTCATGAATTTCGGACGTGACTTTTACACATTAGTAAAATAAGATCTATGTTTTTCTACCCATATTCATTATGTATAGAGTACTATGAACGACAAATATGTTAAAACAAAATTTATTTCAAACAAGGACTGACTAGAAGCCAACTATATATACAAGAATAAACGAATGAAAATAATATATTGATTAAAAAAACGGATGTTAATATGACATATAGCTTCCTTATAAGTTTTCAGCTTCTCTTCTTTTTCGAACGAAATCCATTGCAATTTTGTCTGACGTACGTAATTCAAGTATTTCTATGATTCGACTTTTAATAGCTAATAAATAAATAACAATATGTCTATTTTGATAAGTTATGATAAAATGATAAATAATTTATACCTTTTGGATGTGTTAGAGGAATCTCTATATCCTTAAGATCTTCAAATCCTCTATCACCCAGTTCACTATTCACACCTGGCAAGTTGGCTATTTCCAAGAATGCTTCACCTATGAGAATAAAAATAGAAGAAAATTACAGACGTTAATGTATAATAATATTTTCGAAATATCTCATACCTTCAAAATCATTAGTCCACATAAGATCATGGTCCATTACTGTAAACTGAATAACTGCTCCTTGAGCGGTACATTCTTTTTCTGGTACTCGACTAATATAAATAATAATCAATCAGACTAGAAGATCTTTTAGCAGCATAAACTTACAATTCAACTTTTTCATTGAAAACTGGATTAAGACTTTTTTTTATAATTGTTGTTGATTGTTTATTATAGTTATTAAACATATAATTTGGACATAACTGAATTTCGACAAATGGATCACTCAGTCCGTTTGAATCACATGGTTTTAAATTTTTACAACTAATAACTAAAATAAAAGTTTTAAAATCATATTTTATATCTATTTATATCGAGTATATCTTTTACTTTCAATGCAAAGTGCTTCTTCTTTCGCATAATAGTATGCTCGACAATTTATTTTTCCTAAATCATTTGTTATTGTTCGCTCTTGTTCCTGTAATTTGTCCTATAACGCAAATACATTCTTTTCTAAAATTTGTAGATATCAGATTTATTATGTCAATCATTTACTTGATAATACATCTTAATTAATGTACTGGTATCAATCGAATGATATTTGACCAGTCGTCTAACAAGCTAGAGAGAAAAAGACTTTTGTTTTATTTAGATATCGAACTATGCACACTATATACCTTATATTTATCATTTTTCAAATTATCTTTGGGTAATCCATGATCATCAGCATTAAAGATTTCGGTCAATGATGTGTCTAATGATTTGAGTAATCGTTGATAACAAGAAGGTGGTCTCTAAAAATGGATTTTGATGTTAAAATTTATTGTATGTGCAAAAAGTGACGGGCAAACGTCTACATTCACTTAGAGCAGTTTCTTAGACTCTTGACAACAAAAATGGTAACTTGCTTAAAAGAAATTCAAACAAATGAACAGATTAGAAAATGAAGAGAGGTTCGAAAAAAAGTTGTTTCAAAAAATTTAAATTAAATAAGCTGTCTCGAAGCGATTTTGGTACGATCATTAGAAAAAATATAAAAAACACGGCGTAGCTTATACGTTGCTCTTTCCAACTTAACTCGATAATCTTTCTAGCTATGTTGTACACAAAAAAGTCTGGTCTGTAAACTTCAAAATTTTTCCACAAAGCCAGTTTTGTAGCTAAAAATTCTTCGTATAAGTTATTTTATTTAGAGAATTTCTCTTGTGAAATCCAGTGAGGGACGACAACTCCATAATTATTAACGGCACCAAAAGATGACATGTTCGATCAAATAAAAAATTCTTTCACAATACAAGGTTGAAGAGTGAATTCTACTTACAAAATGAAACATCTCTCATTCAGTCTGTAAGCTTAATGTATGTGGTGTTCAAAAGAGGCAAAAACATCAAGAAAAGTAATTCACTTACATAGAAGTTTTCTATTTTTATTAATCGTGAATTTGGAAAAATTGAGAATGACTCATGTTTTAGAGTACAATTTATTCTTTAATTTTATATTGCGTAAGAATTTTCAGCAACAAAGCCGACTTTGTAGAAAAATTCTTGAGTTTTCTAGGGGCTTACATTTGATGGTACCTCTAACGCAAATTGCCTCAAACAAAAATTTTCGGGGATCTATTTTAAAGATTTTATGAAATTCTGACTGAATGAATATATTTGACTGCTTCATCGTTTAATGTGTCTATTTGGATTTGTTTCGAATAAGCTGCCATTCCTGCTGACGAGCATTTAAAAGAACGTGATTGTATACTTTTTTTCGCCAGGAAATAAGTGTTTTCTGTATCAAACCACTTCTATTCGAGAGCTCAAGATCTCGATATCTGCTGTCGATAACCGGTTAGTCGAAAGTTCTTTCTCAACTTTGCGTTAAGATATTCATCGTCATTTTCAGAAGATTCTCCATTTTATTTTAAAACACCAACATGCATTTCTAACTCTTTTCTTTCCATTATGGTAGTCAATTTTGCTTAGGTCATATAATACGAACATCTTACGTCAAATTGTTAACAACCGTATGGAACAAAGCTAACAAAGCAGTAGAGAAAACCTTATCTAATACTGTTTTTTGATTTAGTAATGGAAACAAAACAGTTCCTTAACATATTTTAAACCAAACTGTTCATCACGATCTGGACTATCTTTCCATGAGAAAAATTGATTATACGCTATTCAGAAAGAAGAAAATATTGCGTTTTACGTCAAATATTGTTTCGTGATGATATTACTGAAGTTTTTTTACTCTTAGATTCTAATGTATTTTTTTTTCTCCTCTTTCTGATCATAAAAAATATTTTGTATTGCTTTTCTTTGTCTACCGCAGATCAATCAATTTTTTCAGTAATCGGTAGTACTTATCAAAAGTGGAGGAAGTTCAGATTCTCTAAACAAATCATTTTTTTTACCCTTTGAATAGTCTACTGAATCTTTTCTTTTTTGTTATCCAATACTCTATACTCTTTATATTTACAGTTTCATATCGAAATTATCATTTCAGTCACATTTAGTTTAGTGTAATTGCTCCCGTCTACTGACTCAGAGTTGATTTTAGCAATCTCATTTAGAATGTTCATATTATTTGACTAAAACATAACATAAAGAAAGCCAAATACAGTAGTGAAAAGAATAGCGTTAAGACTACATGTTGATATGTGGTATAATTAAAAATTTTTTAATAATGAGGGAGGAAATGCTTACATAAATTGAGCTAGAATTATCGGTTTATTAGCTAAATCACATACAGTACTACTTATTCTAACTGCGTTACATTGTTCAGTCGTTTATTACAATAATGATAAGTTGAATGAAAAAGTGACTGTAAACTTTTTATCTACTTTATGACATATACTTACGGTTGATGCTGTTTGTACATCAGCTAGTATTTGATCCAATATAACATTCCACACGATTTCTAACAACCTTCAAAAATTATAACATAAATTAACAGCAAATTTTTATTTTATTAAGCATAATTTACCTTGTGAAATTATGCCTGATCATATAATCTTTAAATGCAAGTAAATTATTATCTAAATATTGTATTAACGGTGTTACTGTTTCCTGAATTTGAACAGCTTCAGGTGCTTCAATCATATGAAATATATGTTGCTTTAAGTCATTTTCCATTAATTGAACGACTTTATTTAAAATTTTATATATTTTTTCAGCTATTTCTTCACTACATGTAGCGACGATTGTCTCAATTTTTCGTCGATAGTCTTCAACAATATTAATATTATGATATTTTTCAGCTGCAACTAATAATTTATCATAACTTAATTCAATGGGCAAAGTTTTAAATGATTCTCGAACTCGTTCAATATTATTTACAGCCAATGATAACTATTTTAAAATGAAAAATGAAAAATAAATTATCTAAATTTGTTTTAGTTGATACTTACATCTTGTGTATAATGGAATATAGATGTAATCTCATAATATCCTCTACTTTGAAGTTTTTCTTCAATTAAAGTTGCATAAAAAATCGTTGCTTGGCCCATATCTTCAGTAATTTTAATTAAATATGGTATACTACCAACAATATCTGGCCATGCTAGAGTCATAGAAAAAAAAAAAAAATAGCGAATATAATATGAAGACAAATATATTGGACTACTTACCTAAACGTTTCCAAAATTGTGCTATTTGACTACAACAATTCGATACATCGAGAGATGATGATGTAAATTTTGTAAATTGAGTTATTGATTCAGGTTTATCTAACTCAATAGATTTTTCAATTCTATATGTCACTTTATTTCGAGCGATTGATAACCATTTTTTCATAGCAGCACCAAAATACATATAATAGGAAGCAATTTTTAACTTTGGACGATCACTAAAAGAAAAATAATGTAATAAAAAATATTTTCTCCTTTCAACTTCGTTTTTTTGTTTTTGTTTTTTTTAATAACAAAAGTACATACGTCTCATTAACATAAGTTTTATATTTTACTAATTCATGTAAACCAAGATAGAGATCAAATAAAGATAATCCTATAATAAAAATCATCATCAAAATTGTATATAAATATTTAAAAAACAATTAGTTAACTATACCAGTTTGTTCAGCTGCTGCAGCAAATTGAATTATATCAGCCGAATCAGGCTCAATCACCAATTTTTCGGGAGGTAAATGAACTTGTTCTCCGAGCTAAATTAAAGATTCAAAGGTAAAAGTCAAACAGTTTGTGATAAAAAGTTATATAATCGATTCAAACATAAATAATAAAATTGTAAAAAGTTATATAATCTTTTAATAGAAATAGACGAAGATTTGCGGTTTTTGTCATTCAATAATCAAGACTGGAACGGTATATTTTCAAAAAAAGACAAACTTTAGATATATCTCTTTTAAGAAAAAGTTTGAATTAATTGAAAAATCGGTTTGTTATACCAAAACTTACAATAGAAAGATATGGCTTTTTTTTTGCATGGATACATAGTCTCAAGTATCTTCTACCAAACTGGTTCATTCGATTTTTTCATCTACGATGATCCAGACATGACATAGGATATTATAGAATCCCTAAGATTGAGCATTCTGAGTCGTAAAGAAGAATGAAAAACTTTTCCTAACAGGAAAATTTTTTTAAAAATTTAGTAGTGTCAGAATATTTTTCTTTAGCAGTTACTACTTTTCATTAAAAAATGCTATTTTGTGAAATTTTTTGTAAAACAAACGAATTTTTTTGCGACGAACGTCGAAGTATATTCTACACCGTTGATCGTGATAATGTTTGTTTTCATTAAAAATTCTAAAAACTTATTCTAGGTGAAAATAACTTATTTTAGACTATTTCATAAAAAATTGAAAAATAAGCCAAAGGAGTTCAAATCTTCAAAATATACTCTTTTTTTTTAGCTACTTTTGATGTTGATAAACTCTGAAATGGGATAGATAAGATCAGAGATCTAACAGATTTCTTTGAATTGAATGTAGTAATTATGATAAATTGAAAGTTGAATGAGTGAACTTAATTGTAAAGCGGATATTTGTTTTTCAGATTATAATCTTTTTTTTGTTTTTGTCTAATATTTTCATGTCTCAGATGTCAATAGTTTCGGACAAAATTATTAAAAACGATAAAATATGTTGTCATCGTTCTATCTTATTGATTCATTTAATAAATGGAAGACAAGTATACTTTATTGTTACCTCTTCTTCTAATGCTTTTAAAACGACATCCATTAACTAAATATAGAAAAATTTTAATAATTTTGTTAAAGTTTTTTTTTGTTATCATTGACTATATTACCTTAGTATCAATTTTTTTAAAAGCAATATGATAATAGGCCAATTTAACTGTTCTGAATATTAGAAATTAACTTAACATCGAGGTAAAAACTATAGAAAAATAAAGTATCATCAAACTTACGCTTCAAATATGGGATTGTAATATTTTACAGCTGCATGAGCTAAAAAACCAAGAATAAATATAAATAGAAGGAAAAAAAAATGAAATTATTATTTATTCTTACCATCAGAAATAAGCACATAGCACAATTCACTGGCACAACGAAGTGTATCTTCATCTGACTAAAAAACAAAATGTATCATGTATTCAACATTTTCATATTGTTTTTTTTTTACTTTTTCAATGAAAAAAAACAACAACAAAATTCTTTATCTCATCAAACTCTCTAAAATAGATTTTATTACTCGAACTCGAGGCTTTGTTATTTCTATCATTCGTTCAAGCCATTCAATTGTTCCAGCCTGAAAATAAAATAATAAACGTGTCAATGTAACATAATAATTAAACAAAATATTTCCTATATTTTATTTATCAATGTTCAAATTTGACTCCTTTAATATATTAATCCTAGTGAATATTTTCTCATTATAATCTATTATTTGCGTGTCCTCATCATTTTAGTCAAAATATTATATATACGTCATATACATTTTAGTTTTTAATCATTTTTTGTCATGTATCATAATTTCAGATGTCAAAAAATTTTTTTCCCAATATTTTACTATTAGATAAATGTTATGTAGATAATGTGTTTTAAAAACATATAACATAAATTTTATCATCATTTTTTTCTACATTTAAAAAAATATTTATGTATTTATATTTCTAAAAAAACAATCTATAAGAAATAAACAACATACTTTAATAATAGTTGAGAGTTCATATTGAAGACTATTTTGAAAAGGACAACAATATCGAAATACGTCCATACTATATAATTTTGATATGATACTAAAATAGAATGAGACAACACATTTATATATATATATATGTATGTGTCAAGTTCATCATGCATTAACATAAAATTGTATGAGAAGAAGAAGAAGAAAAATAAATTGTTTTATACTACAATAAAATAATTATTATTTTGAATATAAGAATATTTATTAATTCTTACGTTAATAATTGTTCAAGTTTTTCTGTGGCTGATTTATTTGCTGCCGGAAATAATTCTCGATGTTTAGCTAATTGTTTAAAACAATGATTAATAAATAATGTAAATGCTTCTCTTAACATATCAATTTCATCTCTACTCAATGATGTTGGTTGCCAAATATTTTCAAGTTGTTCAATAATTGATAATAATAGTTTATATGTTAATGTATGTTCAAGATGTTTTTTAGAGTATGCAGTCCATCGACACATTTGTGTTTGTATTGCAGTTATATCACCTTGAATAGCATGTTGATGAAGAATTGTTTCTGCATCACGACTTAATTCACCATTCCATTCTGTTGATTTACCCTAAATATTAAATATCTATGATAAAAATGAGAACTTATTTATTTTTGTTTTTCAATTAGTAACCTTAAATTTGTTTAATTCATAGTCAATAAAGATTTGTAATAGTTCAACATGTTGTTTAATATCTGTCCAATTATCTTCTTCAGGTACTCCTCTATCTTCGCGTGTTGCCAAATTTGCACACAAATGTATTTGTCCTCGTACTTTTGAATTTTCACTTCTACCTTCTAATTGAAACCAACGATCAATACCAATGGATGGAATTTCCTGAAGAAACAAGAAGATAAAAACAATATCTATCTATCAATTTCATTTAATTAAGTTCCCTGATCAAAATTGAAAACATACAGTTATTTTCAAATTAACTGAGCCCAAAAAATCATCAACATTTGAGCCATCTGCTCGATCTGTTCGTGCTGATTGAGCAATTTGCTTAAAATAGCGATTTAAGCCTTTAAATCCTTGTACTTGATTAAGTTTGCGTGCTGCTTCAAACACGCTAAATTCATCATCGTGATCCCAAATGTCCAAATGAAATGTTTCTGTTTTTCCACTTGCAATGTTACTTTAAAATGAAGAAAAAGATAAAAAGAGAAATAGATGAATCGACAAAACAAAAAATATATATATTTTATTGTGAACCGTTGATATTCTGTTCGTTATCCAATTTAATGAACATAATTAAGATGTGTGTCACAGTTGAATATTAAAAAAAATGTGTGTATGCTGCATTCTTATATATGAGATAATAATAACACGTTTTGCGCAAATGAGAGACACTGCAAGAGTAAGAAGAAAGAATTAGACCACTGACAGTTCACGGTTTCCGTTCTTTGAACGAGAACTACTTTCCAGTTCAAAAACTGAGAACTATTTCTTATTATTGTGAAACTTCAGTTTAACAAACAATGAATTGTCAGATGCCTAGATGGAATAAAAGATGTTGTGTTTCAATTTTTAAAAAATCAGTCTTCGAAGATGTCAAAGTTTCGTTTTTCATGAAAGAGCAAGATCTGAACAGTATAAAAAATTAGATATCAAAGTTCTATAGATGTCTGATATAGTCCTGAAATCTTTGTGAAAGTTCGATCATGCTAATATAATTTTTTTTCTCTCGAACGACATGGGAAAATCTATTCTAGTAAATTTTCAAACAAAATAAAATACGTACAATCGAAATTTTTCCATCCATACTGGATTGAGCGTTGTTTTCTTAACATCCGTTGTTTGAATATATTTTGCTGGTAATTTATCTTTGAGCGCATTTGTTGGTGATGGAACACCCTTTTCTCTTCCTTCTCGTCTTCTTGTCGTTGATTTACGAAAACTTTTTAAACGTTTCATAAAACCCAGTTTTCGATCAGTATTTCCATCGGTTGTCGAGGAGCCACCCTCTTCATCCGATGATCCACCACCATTTTGAATTAGTTTCTTATCATCGGGTACGATTCCCAACATACAATAGGGATCAGAAAATCCTGAAAATTTCAAATATTTTAGTTATACTTATTTTATAAAGATCTCATGTGTACACATTACCATTGGCATCTTTCGCTTCTAAATCTTTTGCTTCAACAATTTCAATATTTAAAATTAGAATCGGAGGCTAGAAAACAGTAATATAATTAGTTTATGATTGATTGTATGACGAAAGATTTACTTTTTCTTCACTGGCTTTTGCTAATAATCGTTGATGTTCTTCATCCATAATTCCAAATGCTTCTTGGGCGTACATATACAAATCATTTTCACCTCCAATATGTTTCGATGTTGTTATACCAATTTTATGTTTGATAGTATAAAGTACTTCGATGTACAATAATTGATATTCATTTTCTGTTAATGCAGGAGGTTTTTCACCAAATGTAATACGATATTCGGGTGCCGCTTTTTGACTTTCTATTTCTTCCTAAAACAACAGTAGTATATTGAATATTTACTATAAAATATTTTTGTATTTGTATGTACATCTTTTTTTATTTTTTGTAATCGATGATCATGTTTTTGTGCAACAGCTTCAAAACTCTCCAAAAACGATCCAACACCTTCATCGAACCTAAAATGAGATAGATATATCAGAAAGATTGATCAAATATGTTCATAAGGAGAATAATATAGAAGATGCTCATTATTTTAAAAAAAAACGAAAATTTGAACATTTAGTCTTTCTTTTTTCTAAATGCTCATTTTTATCTTGATTTTGAGTAACTAAAATTTGGTTACATCTGTTTCATCAATTTTTATATTAATAATTGCCTACAAGGCTTACCGTTTTGATAATGCTGCTAAAAATTTCGATTCAATTGTTCGTGTTTGAATTTGCATTTGTTCTTTCTCTTAGAGAAGTTTAACTGACTCACGATCTTTTCGATGTATTCCACTCTATACAAGTCAATCTATTTTTTTTCTTGTTTTTATTTTTAATAATATCTGATTTGTGGATCGTTACCATTATCATTCATTTTTTTCAACGTGTTGAATAAGTATTCTTGTTCTTTATTTTTTTTTTCTTTTGTATTTTGAGTAAAGAAGAGGTATTCAACTCTACACAAAACCATTTTTATGTTTTTAATTTTTTTTGTTCTTTCGTTTGCCTTTTTCTTAAAGAATTTTGCGTGTTCAATGGATGTAATGCTATCAACTTGAACATTGTGAATAATAATAAGAAAAATAGGTTGATCGACTGTATCATGTTTTCTTCTTCGTCGTCTTTTACAATCGTATATTACCATCTCTGATCTTAGAACCTTTAGAGACTTTACTTTTGTATCATAGTATTCAATCATAATAATAAATAGAGTTGATAGTTTATTATTATTTTTTCATAGATATAGACACGTGTCAAAACTAGGTAAAAAGAGAATTCGCTGCATTACATTCCGGATGTTAAAAGAAGAAGAAAAATCATCCAGAAACTTTCTTTTTCTACAGTTTTTACGCTAATTTCTCTTCTCTTTCTCAAAAATAATTGATTTTAGGAATACAATTATGTTTTCTAAAGCTCCAAACTTTTCTTCTAATACAATTTTTACACAAAAAATATGTTTTAATGTGATTCTCGTACGCGTATTATACATTCAAAATAAGGAGACACACATTCGAAAATAGGTAAAAAATTGCTTAATGAAGAGATGATCGATAATTGTTCAAAGATAATTATAATGAGAACTATCAGTATTTTCAATAAAACAGTTTCTCTTTACTGACGCATCTTCTTTAACATCATCCTTTACACATAAACGTTATATTTCTTAATATAGTTCAAAATTCTCACTACATCAATATTCACACTGTCATTAGTATTCATTCTTATATGGCATAGTGAATAATTCAAAGTTTCTCTAACATGCAGTATAATTTAACAAACTTTATTGACAGTTGAACAATTCATAAGTTAAAAATGAATCGAATTTCTTATGTGTCAAGTTTTTCTTGTGTCTTTTGTTTTTCTAAAATGCCAAATAATATTTATCCATAGACAAAACAGACTATCATTAATCACAAATATATTTACTGATAAAAAACATAAAATAATAATCAATGGAGACAGTTATAGCTACCAGTATTATTTTTAAACACCCAAGTCAAACTGCGTTTCACTCTCTCACAGAGAGGAAGGAAAAAAGTAAATGATTCACACAAAAGGAGTCCACATTATTCATTTCACAGAAATATAGTTTCATGAATTGAACCTTTTAAAAGGTCATTACGATTGGGTGAGAAATTATGACTTTTGTGTCTGTTAGTCAAACTAGCTGAATCGTAATATACTGCACGTGATATACTCGTGATATGATTGTATTAAAATCATATAATAAATTTAAAAAAAGTGTATGAAAGAAAAGGTGTGAAATTTTTTGGCTCGACACGTAAGGATCGAACCTTGTTTCATTGCGATCCTCATTGCGATCCTCAACGCAGAAAATATTAAAAGCATAGAATTTCGATGATATAACGTGGTCAAAACTACCCCAGAAGAAATCCCGCAAGAATGTTTAATATTTTGCTAATATTTCGAATTTTTTGTTAGCATTTGGATATTCGAGTAAACGTTGAGGCTATTTTCAGCTGAGCTTTTTTAGTGGAACTCAATCACAAATGTATTGGCTGCATTTCTAAGTGTGTAAGGTACTGAAAACTCAAAGTTCAAGCATGAATGTTTTTCGTTTATTAATACGTAGTTGGGTAGTTGAACGATATGTTTCAAAATTTTTCGTTGATTCTCATGTTTTGGTCGAAATCTACATAATTTTTCGATGTGAGAATTCGAAAAAAAGCCAAAAGCGTAATTTGTCTTTTCTCCTCCAAGAATTAAGTCTTTATTAGAATTGGTCAAGATAAGTTTTCATTAAGCGCTAATAGGATAAAAAAGTATATAATCCGACTCACGAAGGAAGGTCGCCAAGTGTCCAATCGCTTTCCGAACGAAAACTAGTGGATACTGGGTTATCGAGCATGCTGATTCTAATATGACTACGAGAGCTGCCATTAAGCCTTCGAAGACCGATTTTCCAAGCTAAAAACTTTTTTTCGCCGAAAAATTTTTCTGATCTGTCTTGATCTGATTGTAGTGCGTGTCGAGTTGTCTATAAAACACTATTTTTTGTCATTTCCGATCGATTTTAAGTACGGTTATAGAGACTTGAAGTTGAAAGAAATCACAATTGTGACTATATCTCCTTTATGAATTGACCTGAAATGACAGAAATTAGTGTTTTATAAATAACTCGACACACACTACAATCAGGACAGATCAGAGCGTTTTTTTGGCGAAAAAGGCTTTTAGCTTGGAAAACCGATCTTCGACGGCCTAACGGCAGCTCTCATGGTCATATTCAGAATCAGCATACTCGATAACCCGATAATGCATTATCCACTAGTTTTCGTTCGGAAAGCGATTGGACACTTGGGGATCTTCCCTCGTCAGTTTTTGACGCTGATTCCGAATATGATATTGTGATTGTATAAAAAATGAGTTCTAGTGGAGAAAACTGAGAATTACGATTTTTTCATAATAGACAAAACAATTTGAATTTTTTGAAACTGAAAGGTTTTTCGAAATTCTAGATTCTGCAAACTTTTTAATTCTTTTTCCTTAAAAGTTGTTTTTTCAAAAGTTGAAAACCACTTTTTCTTCTTAGTTCCACGAAAAAGGAGATTCTAGTGGTCAACTTAAGAGGGCGAATCTCACGAATTGTCGCGTCACTTTTTCAGACAAATCTAGTGGGTTATAGGTTATCGACTATGCTGAATTCGAATATCATAGTGGTAGCTGCCCGGGAGCCTTCTGAGAGTGGTTTTCTGGAAAACCAAATTTTCAGAAACTCTAAAAAGTAACCAAAACCTTTCTCAATGAGGCATGATTGTAGTCCGCAACTTTGTGATTAAAATGAGACATCTCTCAGCTCTACACAACCTTTCTTTGCAGAGTTATAGAATTTGCAAGAAAGGCCCTACATTAATTTCTTCTTATTTCTGTAGCTTTGAGCTGACAATGAACATTTAGGGCTTTTCTTGTAAATTCTATAACTTTGCAAAGAAAGGTCGTGTAAAGGTGAGATATGTCTCATTTTGATCAAAAATTTGTAGGCTATCTCATTAAGAAAGATTTTGGTTACTTTTTAGAGTTCCTGAAAATTTGGTTTTCCAGAAAATCGCTCTCAGAAGGCTCCTGAGCAGCTACCACTATGATATTCGGATTCAGCATAGTTGATAACCTATAACCTACTAGGTGAAAAAGTGATGTGGCAATTCGCGAGATCCTCGCGTTAGATGATATCTAGTAGAGTACAGGTACTGGAAGACAGCTGACCTTGCTAGTGACATTTTCAATAGAATAGGGCGCCTTTTTATTACCTTTGATGTTCAGTGGTGTCGCTTTTAGTTTTGTTGGCTTTGTTCTGAAAGTTATTTTCTGTCTTTATACTGGTCTGGTCGGTAGACAAAGTTCCAAAAAGTTAACCCAACGCTTTCATCGGTTTTCCCACATGATGATCTTTAGTCTATACGTCGGACTAGTCTTCTCATCTACTACAAACTATACGTTGAAAGTGTCAGATAATTGTTTTAGAACCGAAGCTAAGCGAGTATCCTATTCAGTTTTGAAATAATCAACTGTCAATATAGAATGAGATTTTAATTAGTTTATCAGAGGAACAATATAAAAACCTCACCTGCTATGTCCTCCAACGCGAAAAACCATTTTGTCTGTGAGTGTATTATTACTGTGATTTGTTGTATTACTACTTTCTGCTTTTGTAGTTTGACGAACTATTTCAAATAATGATGATGTTGTTGAATGTTTCGACTTATTGTGACTGTTAATTGATCTATTGTTCTGTTTCTGTTCAACAAATTTTTGTTGGTTCTTTCCTTCATCCATTGAATAAAATTTTACTTCAATGTTGTCAATGTGGACCTTAGATCCCCTGATAATTTATTTGCACACAATGGAAAAATTATTCTTATTAAAAATAATAACTAATACAAGATATTTTCTTTTTTTTGATGTTGTTTGCTTCGCTCTCCCAAAAAAAATGAATCGTAAAAGATAATGAGAATACGACAGAAAAATAAAAAATAAAACGACATGAATCCCTTATATGAATACTAATTCAAGTTAACTAGAGAGTGCCATTGTAGCAATGGTAGACGATAGGAATGGCTCATTTTTGTTTCTAAGTCCATAAAAAGAAGAAACTAGATTTTTTCTTTCTTTTGTTCTTAGTATAATTACTGATGATGTAGTTAAAAAAAAGTGTCGTCGTCGTTACAGTGTGCACTTTTGGTCGATGTCTATTTTATGTATGTTATTTAAGAAAAAGAAATGAAGAAAAATGAAAATCATGTAAAATCTTTTATGATAAAGAGCCTTAAAACAACAGTATTAAATATGCAAACATTCCCACACTTGTATAATTCAAAAAATGAAATAGAAAACGTGTTTCATGTTGTTATCAAATACTTTGTCGTAGTAGGATCAGCAGTACGATGAAAGAAAAAAGTTATTGATGGCATCAGATCAATTTTCTGTATTGTACACATTATTCTTATATAGTATTCCCAAATATCACCATCAGTTGAACAGCAGATAGTATGTAAGATGTAATACTATCCATCAATGGATTAACACGTATTCCCTTCAAAAACTTCTCTCCTCTTTCCGTTATAAAGCGGAAGTTTTCTTATCAAATTGTTTGTTTATGTAGAAATCGTTTTTTCCGCCAAAGAAGCAAGACGTTTTCTTATTTAATGAGAAAAAATCATTTAAGTTGAATTGCCACTGAACGCTAATTGTACTAAACTGTTTATTACTATCTCAAATAATGTCAACTCATTGAGTTCAAATGATTGGTTCTTAATTAAGTCCAGAATAGACACAACGGTATGTTAACGGCGTCTGTTCTATATTTCAATTTTTTATCACCATTAACTGGCCGATGTAACAGTGTGAGTTGACGGAAACAAATGGTTACGGGAGGGGTCATTTTCCACGAAGTCATTTATCTTCTCGTTTTACTGTATCACTATTGTATATATATATATATAATGACCACTAATATTCTCCGAGAATTCAGAAACAGGATCAAGATAAGCTTTCATTAAACTTTCTTTCATTACCTCGTTAAATTATTTCGCGGATAATCAAAGAAAGTTTAATGAAAGCTTATCTTGATCTTTTCACATACACTCAAGTGACAGATGCCATTGAAACTCATACTACTCTCTAAAAAAAAGTGGTTTGTGTATGAAAACCTAAAAGGGTATACAGAACCACAACTGTTTCTAAACTTAATTGAAAAAACTCGTTTAACGAATTTTGAAAAATCCTTCGTTCATATTCGAGGGAAACTGATTCTGAACAACTTTTATACCCACACTTTTCCTTGAAAATACTTCCTTCAAGCGAAATTTGGTTCAACGTGTTTTGAAAAATCCATTTTCAGCCGAAAATAAGCAAAAATTTTAAAGTATCGCATTTGACTCTCATACTTCACCGGTTTGTAGAGAACACTTTGAAGTATATGTTCTGAAGTTTTTTCGGCTTACTGACATTATTTGGCTGAGAAAAAATAAATTACTGAAAAACGTTGTTAAATTTTCAACTTACCTAACGAGTGGCTAAAAATGAATTCTAGAATCTGGCAGTCCATCTTGTAGCCCATGAAATTCTCTATCAGATGAGGTATTACTTGAACTTTTTCGCTAAGTCGTTATTTTACAAACAGGACTTTAAGCTAGTAGAGTACGCTAAACTGACGTTAATTAGTACTAATTAGTCAATAACAGGAAAGAATGAGCAAAAGTTTTATATATTTTCTCATAGTAAATACTCTCCACACATTTCTCTATCGATTCATGCAAGAGCCAAGTTTTTATGATGAATGAAGAATGAACAGAACTCTTTTTAATAATAGTTCCTTGTGCAAAAACTTAACAATATTTTTTTAAGTAATTCATTTTTTTCTCAGTCAGATAATGTGAGTAAGCCGAGAAAACTTCATGACATATACTTCGAAATATCCTCTGCAAACTGGAAACGTTAGAGGAAAATCTGTATGGGATAAAAAAAAATTTAAGAAGAAAATCTGATAGAATTTATGTACTTAAACGGTTTCGTACCGTACCTTTTCTTCTACGAAACCTAAAAGGGTTCAGAAATGGTGGCAATTTCTCTATACCCTTTTAGGCTTCGTATACAAACCTTTTTTTTTACAGAGTAGTGTCACAGTACTAGGACGGATACGTGCAATACCAGCAAAAAATTAAAAAGTGTAACAATGATACTTTTGAGGTAAAAAATAAAAAAATAATTGCCCTAATGAAAGTACTCATACTATGAGTACGACTTTACTCATAATTCGTCTATGAGCACTCATATGAGTTTTACTAACAATTCTGAAGTATTTTTACTCAGTTCAGTTAGTCATGTGTGTACTCAGAAAATATTCATTCACCGTTTTATTTTGCAAAACTGAAACTCTATAGAGAACGTATAATTTAGTAAAGAAACAGAATATTTATATTACTTTTTTCGCGCTGGTCTCTATACATAGTCAGAGATGAACTCGTCTGTGAAAAGACTTGTAGTCCAACTCCGGCTGCCTGAGCTCACTCCTCTATATGAAAATACCAGATGAACAATACGCATGAGTATTTTGCCAAAAGTTATATGACTACTCAACGATACTCAAGCATGCGTACTCAAAGTCATACCCACAGCACTCATTGCTCACTCATGGGTACTCATGTGTGTACTCAATGAGTAAAAAAAATGTGTGAGTAGTTAACATATGATGCAGAAGTAATGGTGTAAATGTCAAGCCGTATTTCTCAGCGACAGAGCATCGAATCACTTTAGAGTTTTTTTTGTTTAAAAGAGCAAAGTCTAGAGAATAAATTTGTCTGGCAAACAATTTTTATTTATTCAATTTGAACAGTACGACAACCTCAAAAAGATCTTGCAACGTACTTTTATTTTTATTCTTTTCACTTTAATCTGAGAAGAAAAGCTTTGAAAACTAAACAGATGAGAATGCAGTTCATGCAAAACTCGGTCGATCCCTGTACTTTCTAAAAGTTTCTTAATAATTCCTTAATAGTAAAAATACTCAGTTTTAGTAGAAAAGCACCATTTTGCATGGGGAGATGACACATCGAGAAAATTACTTTGCTTAAGTAGTAAAGATTTTAAATAATGTGAATTTGCAGAGATTGGGATACTGTTACAGAAAATACTTTTTAGCAAAAGGAGGAAGTTGGTTCAGTATCTGAAAATTATTAATTAATTGTATTTCTAAAACTAATGAAAAATTTGCGAATTTTTGATTAAAAAGATAATTTATCATCCACCATTTGAAAGAGTGATAAAAACACTTTTGGTTTCTACAATTACATAATTTCAGACATATTCTGTTATAGAGAAAAAATATGTTTGATGAGAGAAACAATTTGCAGAGAGCGAAACTTACAAGAGCTTCTTTGGCGACATTTACGATTTAGATTTTTTCTCATTCAAACTTAATCAGGAAAAAATTTGTTCTGTATGCTTTACGAAGTTCAGACTTTGGTCTTTCTAACGGAAAAATATATTAACTCTCCAGCACATTGGAAACATGGAGAAATAATGCTCGACATTTACACCATTAGTTTTGCACCATATGTTACTCGGGACATTTTTCAGCAAAATACGACTTTGAGTACTCAAGCTTAAGAGCCATTTCACATAAGCGACGACTACGTTACATAGAACACTGTTCAAACGTATCGCACAGAAGTTGTTGAAACCAGTCATAAAAGAAAATATAGACATTTCTGAGTAAAATGGCGCTTTCCGTTTGAAAAAATATTGCTAGGTTGCTGAGAAATGAGCATTTTAAAATTTCGACCAACTTTT